ATAGCTCCACCTCTGTTCCTTCCTCTCTCACTGGGATCCCTTCTCCCTGTGTTCCTTCATTTCTTTCTGTCTCTACCTTTCTCTTTCCTGCCTTTGTTCCCACCTCATCCCATGTCTTATCTTCTCCCCCATTTTTCGGTCCTAACCCCTCAAGGTGACCCTTCCCCTGGAGTCCCGTGTAGTGGTAGCTGAGAGGCCACTTGTGTTCAGAGTGGATGGACTACTCCAGAAGGTCACGGTCCGGATCCATGGGGAGGTCAGCAGTTTCTGGATCAGAAACCCTGCAGGTACTTCCCTGTGTGTCTCAAGGCAGTGGGAAGAACAAAGACTGAAGAAGGAGGGGTAATGTACGAAGCAAAAGGAATTCTCCTGTGCCAATCTCTTACCCCCCACACCCACCCAGGGGTCTTCCAGGGCCAGGAGGAAGGTGAGGGGCCTCTAGGTCACACTCGCCGCTTTGGGAGGTTCTGGATGATGAGCGTGAATGACCCTCCACAGTCAGGAACCTGGGAGATCCAAGTCACAGCCAAGGGTACCCCCCGGGTGAGAGTGCAAGGTAAGGAGGATGATATTCCTGGGAAAGGTATGGGGAGACCAGAGAGCAGTATCAGTCGCCTTCATCGCCGGAGGGTCTCTGACTGCCTTCGCCCTTCCTCAGCCCAGACCTCCCTGGACTTCCTCTTTCACTTTGGGATCCCCATGGAGGATGGACCCCACCCTGGCCTCTACCCCCTGACTCAACCAGTTGCAGGTACACCTAGCCCCACCCCTAACTTGTGTGTATATATGTAACTTTTTATTGAGTTGCAACATTTATAAGGTGCACTAAACTCAAGTGTACAGGCTGGGTGGATTTTATATATTAATAACCATCACTCAGTTCAAGCTATGGAACATTTCCAGCATCCCAGAACTTGCTGTTGGCCCTGCCCATCAGTAACCCCTAGAGGTAACCCCTTTTCCCCATCCACATGGCCCAGAGCTAACCACTATTCAAAGCCATTCCTATTTTTCTCCCTGTCTCCAAGTCTCATGCAGATCTCTGTTCTCCCCTCCCCTCCCCTGTCCAGGTCTCCAGACCCAGCTGCTGGTAGAAGTGACAGGGCTGGGCTCCAGAGGAAACCCTGGAGGCCCTCTGCCGCACTTTTCCCACGTGGTCCTCCGAGCGGTCCCGCAGGGTGCCGAGCTGGGCCAGGTGCCTCTGGAGCCCAGGGGACCCCCGGAGCGAGGTCTCTTCTCTGCCTCACTACCGCCCACCCTTCTGTCTACCTCGGTACCCTTCTCTCTGGAGCTGGTTGGCCAGGATGGAGCGGGGAGGGGCCTGCACCGGGCTGCCCCCCAGCCCTGTGCTGTAGTTCCGGTCCTGCTGGAGGTGAGAGGCCGAGGAAGGTGCGGCTGGGGCTGGAGGGAATGGGTCCTGCTCCTCCCCTGACCAGCCCTCCTCCGCAGCTCAGCGGTCCCCCGGGTTTCCTGGCGCCAGGCACCACGGCCCCGCTCAGCCTCCGCATTGCCAGCTTTTCAGGCCCTCAGGATCTCTATCTTAGGACATCTGCCAAACCCAGTTTCGCCCTCACCTCCAACCTCTCCAGGTGAAGCCCCTGAAACCTCCTGCTCCCTTCTGGTCCCATCTTTCTATGCCCGGGTATGGGATCTGGTACCTGCTCCTCTGGCCCTTTGGGATGGGAGCTCAGATTCCTCGCTTCCCTCCCCACCTCCCCTTGGCTCCCAGCTATTCAAGCCTGTGGCTGAAGCCAGATGTTGGCATCCACTCCCCAGGGTTCACCTGGAACAGAACGAGTCCGCCTGGGGGCGCCTGTGGCTGGAGGTACCAGACACAGCCGCCTCCGACTCCATGGTGATGGTGACGGTGACTGCAAAGGATGGAGAAGCCAGCACGATGCCCCCGACCCATGCCTTCCTCCGGCTCCTGGTGCGGGCCCCCGCCCCACAGGTGAGTGCCCCCACTTTCAATTGCAGGATAGGCAGGGTAAGGGGAAGGTGGTACAGGATTAATCTTGAGGCAACCACCCTGACAGTCTCTAATTCTCCCCAGGACCAGCTCCCTGCTCCCGCTTACTCGACTGACTCGGTCCGCAACACCTCCAGCCCTGCCTCCCATCTTTCCACCTCCCTGACTCAGGGCGGGGCTTGGGGAGGGCTGCTGGGCAACCCCTGGTGGACCACATTTGTGGGGATGTTGCTTTTGCTCAGCCTGGGCCCCTGGTGATACAGCAGCCCCTGGAGGTAAGGGTCTCCAGCGCTGTGCACCATCTTGCCCACTGGTGAGAAGATAGGAGGGGCCTCTACCTCTCCAGGTGGGATAGAGGTTTTCCTTCTCATCCACTTGCCTTTCTTTCCAAAACTGGGATAGAGAGTGATGGATTTCCCACAATGCACTTTCCCTAACCCTTGTGGGGGAAAGAAAAAAAAAACCAGACTCATTTTTGAAAAAAGTTGCTTTCTCTTTCTCTGCAGCATCTTTGTTCCACTAATTTATGCTCTCTCCCAAGCTCAGGTGGAGGGGAAGATATGTGGGGCAGTGTCTAAGACTAGAAGTGGGGAGAAGGGTTCCCCACCTCCTACCCAAAGTGTTATTGACATTCTGGAGGTGCTCCTATTTTATTTTTGAAATTCTGGAGAGGCTTCTATTTTATTTTTGTATTTAAAATTGAAGGACAATGCCAATAAACATGTCTTCTCCCCAGAGAGATTTCAGAGAAAGATCACTTATGTACATCATATCGGAAAGAGTGGGGGGCTTCCCAGGTGGGTGCTAGTGTTAAAGAACCAATGCAGGAGATGTAAGAAGCGCAGGTTCGATCCTGGGTCAGGAAGATTCCCTGGAGGAGGGCATGGCAACCCACTCAGGTATTCTTGCCTGGAGAATCTCCATGGACAGAGGAGCCTGGTGGGCTGGCAAAGGGTCGGACATGACTGAAGCAACTGAGCATGCATGCATAGGGAAGAGTGAGAGCATGAAATACCAAAAAAGATAAAATGGAAGTTTTCAGGAGCAGAGAAGAAACTTTACACCAGTATATTTGGATTTCAGCTGACCTGCCACCCAGAGCCATTTAGTTGCTGAGTCAGAATAAGGAGGCGGGGGATTCTCTCAGTCTCACCAGCATGACTGAGGGGACCAAAGGAGCCTTTAGACACGGGTAGGGCCCTTCCGTCCATGGGGGCAGCCTGGCTGAGCCATCACCCCTGTTGGCTGAATGCCTCCTTTCTGCTGCCTTGACATCTCCTGGAGAAGAGGAGAGAGACAGTCTGGACGTCTGTGTTCCTCATTCCCTCGAACGGCTGGCCAGAGCTCCTGCCCCCCGCCCCCCCCACTCACCTGTTGCCACCACATGTCCTGTTTCCTTGGCCTTCCCTTCCAGTCCTGGGTGGTGCAGGAACTAGCTTTGTTTGGGGAATGTGGGAAGAACTGGGGGAAAATGCAATGTTTTATTAGACCAGTGCTGACCTCAAGTCCCTTCTTCATCCCCATTTCCCAAAAGTCTAAACTAAAAACAATAAACTCACCTTCCCCTGAAGCAGATTCTGCAAGCAGATGTTCACTCTCTGAATCTGGGCTAACTGGGGGCCACCAGGCTCTGAGTGTAAATCCGTTAGAAAATTCTAAAGGAGGAATTGGAGGCAAACAACATGGTGAAAACTTGAGTTCCATCTGCCACTCTTCTCCTGTCACCACAGGCCATTCCTCTCCTCCATCCAGACCCCTCACCCCAGTTCCCTGACAGGCAGGTGGGCAATTCCAGTACTCTATGCTTCATCTCTGTAATAGTCCAGTTCTTCAGCCCCTCAAATGGCATAGTCCCCACTTTCTCTATTCTTTACGGATCCTCCCTGCCCATCCCAGCTCTATTGGAACAATCCAGGCCACTCCCCCAGCTCCATGGAGTGATCCAAATTGTGTCCCTCTGAATAGAATGCCGATCAGCCTCCTCTAGGCCCAACTATGAACACCAACCTAACACTTGGTGGCATCCTGTCATTACAATGCTGCCTCCCATTCTTGATCCCTGTCCATTAACTCTTGCTTTTCCAGGATGGTGTCAGGCTGTGTTTACCCACCCCTGCGGCCCCTGCCCCCCCACCCCTTGGGTCAGCCCCATACCTCACCAAGGGCCCCCACGTGCAGCTGCTGTTGCTGAGCCTCCCTCAGACGGCCCTCATACCAGGCCTGGCTATGCTCCAGCAGCTCCAGCCCCTGCCAAAGGGCGTCCTGCTCCCGCTCCAGTGCCTGCATCCTCTGCAGCTGAAAAGGCAAGGAGCAAAGGCTGACTCACTCTACAGCAGGGCGATAGGCCATGCTTGGCTTCACTGTGTGGTTGGGTTCACTGTCTGGTCACTGACCATGAGCCCAGACTGGCCACTGAGGACCTGCAGGGCGAGCGAAAGCAGGGGGCTGGAGCTGTGAGTCCTCAAAATTGACGGGGACTGTAGGAGACTGATCTAGGGAAGTGGGCTTCCCCAGGATTTCTTGTGGGACTGATACTCACCCAGAGGAAGAAGCTCCGGGCCCCTGGGTCTTGGCGACTTGTCTCCAGTGGCAGCAACAGAACCGTGTAGGGGGCTTGCACCAGGGGCCACCCACTAGGACCCCGGCTCCCCATGGCTCTGAGGTGGGAAGGGTGGAGCCACGCCCACTGGTGCAGGGCTGGGCCCTCCCTTTCCCCCAGCCTTGTACTGGTCCTGCCTAGTCTTTCAGCCTCTCAGAGCCCTTCCAGCTGGGTCTGTCTGAGGCCGGGGTGTTTCTACTTTGAGGGAAAAGAACATCTTGGACTTCTGTCTTCCCTCTCATCTGTTTTTATAGGGCCTGTTGCAGTGGCTGGTTCTCATAAAGTCCCCCGGGTAGAGCCCAAGGCCTCCCTCCAGCAGTGATAATGTATTTACAGTGAGGCAAGGCAGGTTCCTCTATAGACTGCTGCTTCCTGTTTCATCTCTTTCCTACTTGCTTCGCTTTTTTTTGGCTGGTCTAAGAAAACAACAACTTTCTCCAAAATAAGCTTTATTATTAACATGAAACAGAATTTCCAGGGAAACTGAGAACTCTGGGTCTGAGGGAGGTAAGGAAACAAGGAGGCCTGGCAGCGTTCAGGGGTTTGGGACCTGGAGGAGGGCCCAGGAAGGACTCTCAGAGGATGGTGGTGGCAGCAGGCAGCACCTCCTGACTCATGAAAATGTCCAGGTCCAGGCTGGGATCTTCCAAATCCAGTTTCAGAAACTTATCTACTAATGTCTGGCAACTGAAGGGAGAGAAAAGAAGTGAGGTTTGGGGGAGGATGGATAATAGAGTCCCTGAGCAGAGGGGAGAGGATGCAGCACAGGAAATCCACGACCTTGAGAATTTAGGAATTTCAGGAAGAAACTGTGAATCGTTAAAGGGCAAAGAGGCTGAGTCCCTGGAGGGGGCAGAGGAGCTGCAGAACATGGACCCTGAGAACAAGGACCCAGGGCCTGCACTCACTTTTCCATTTGCTTCTCCTTTAGCAGCTCTTTGACAGGTTTGATGGGCTTTCCACTGCGGATCAAGTCCGAAACCTGGGACCAAGGAGGAAGGGGTAGGGATGGGGTTGGGTATTGGGTAAGAGAAGAGAAAGTATGGGTCAGAAATTCCATGGGCCCAGAAATCCCTGAGAGAAGCAGGGACAGTGAATGGAGGTGGTTGCTCTCTGGGCCCCACCTGCTTGCCGCGAGCAATGAGTTTCTCAGGAAGCCCAGCCTGCGCAGCTGTGTGGGAGGCGTGGCTGGCACGGGCAACACCTTCGCAAACTTGATAGAAGAAGACAAGGTCATTCCCATCCTCACAGGTCTCCATGGTCTTCAAAGAGAATAAAAGGGGGCAGTGTTCATCAGTCATTCTGCTTCCTGCCCCAATACCCTTGGTCAGTCGCGGTTGAGAGTAAGAAACGGGAAGGGACATGGTCCCTGTTCTGACACAGGAGCCAGTTCCCAGCTCTGGGAAATGCTCAGCCTCGGGGTCCCTGGGGAGCTGGGTAGGTCTCCTCACCAAGTACTGCACAAGCGGCCCCTGCGGCAGCAGCTGCAGCTGAACAAGGCTCAGAAAGTTGGTGGCCACAAAGACATTGGGACACGTGGGTCCGAGTGCCAGCCAGTGTCGGATCACGGCAGCCAGCAGCGCGAGCCCATCCACCTGCGAGGAGCATAGGATAGCGCAGGGTGAAGGTGTGGAGCCACAGGGCCCCGTGCGCCCCCTCTTCCTGCCGGGCCTTCCCCTCTCATGCCCACACACCCCTATTCTTTTCCAGAGGCCCAGTCCCGCCCTCCTGCTCCTCCGCCCTCCATTTTCCTCTTAGTTCCTTACCGTGTTGGTTCCCTTTCCAAATTCATCCACAAGGACCAGCGAGCGCTCAGTGGCATTGTTCACCGCTTTCGCCACCTGCTGGGCACCCGGTGGATAAGGGAGAGTTTCATAAACATTCGAGGCCTGGCACTGACCAGTGTGCCTGCGAGTAAAGCTGCTTGAATACGTGTCCACCCTACCGAACTGCAAGTTCTTTAACGGCAAGACCCATGTTTTGTTCATCCTTTCACTGACAACAGCACATCACACAAAGCCAGGGACTGGCAAAGGTTCATGGTATTGATTCTTCTGGTTTCTGAATTGGGTGCTCCCTGCCCCTAGCATAGAGAACAGGCAGCAGAAGGAAAGCTTTTCCTGTTCTGACCATTTTTCAGGGCTAGGGTTCCTTCCCCATTACCCCCTCCCCCAACCCTGCCTCCTCTTAACCTGGTTGAGGTCGATCATGAAGGTGGAAAGGCCAAGGGAGATGGATTCACAGCTGTGAATTCGGGTGAAGATGGCGTCTACTGCCCCGATATCAGCTTCCTTTGCCGGCACAAAGCTGCCCACCAGGGCCATGAATGTGATCAAGCCTACCTGAATAAGGGAAGGAGACAGGTACAGTGCCTGGTGGTATGGGCTGAGGTGAAGGTGAGGCTAATCTCAGGGGAGAATGATAGATCAAGATAGAGGGACACAGTTTAACAGCCCCTTCGGCTCACTTTAGAGTAAGTGAAAAGGGGCAGGAAGTGGGCAGAGGCATGGTTAGGAACCGTGTGGACCTTCTCAGAGGTGGGAGAGGAGGATTCAGGTCAGAGGATGGTCATTAGCACACAGCCCTCCCTCAGGTAGAGAATGAGAACACGGAAGGGAGAGGGACAGCAGGTGTGAGTCTTTTCATGACACGTGGGGTCAGAGCAAAGTGGAGAAGAGCTGTGGGAACCTTGGTTGACTGGCAGGTGGGGGGTGGAGATGATGGAGAAGAGAATGCAGAGATTCGTCTACCTGTTTGAGGTATATGCTCTTCCCTGAGGAGTTGGGTCCAGTGATGACTTTGACCCTCCCTGTGTCCCCCCCGCACTCTGCAGAGTTGGGAACGAAGGTTCGGGCACAGAGTTCCATCAGCGGATGCCTGTAGCCGGTGGAAAGTTCCTTGCATGTGGCCTGTGGATCCAGAAGATGGGGCCTTTGGACCCCCCGCCCTGTGTCTATTCCTCCACCCATTTCTGTCCTCACCTGCCATTCTGGATTCGTACCCCGAGAAGCTGTGGGGAGTAACGGGGTCTTGAGTAGCCGTAGTCCCGGGCGGCACTGGCAAGAGCCAACAGGACGTCCAGGCGGGAGGCAAGGTCCAACACCCGGGTCAAGATGGCTGCCCGTGCCAGCACCTGGCATTGCAGCTGGTGCATCAGCAGGGTCTCCTGGTCTGGGGGCAGGGGAGGGAAGGAGCTGGTGTCAGCTCCAGGGGAGAGCAAAGGAGAGACAAAGAAGCCAGCAGATGAACCTAGAAACCATCTGAAATCCCAGAGATACTCAGAAAAGGCAGAGTCAGAGAGAGAGAGAGGGAATAGCAGGAAGGAAAGGAGCCTATCAGAATCACCTCCACGCTGCCCGGTCCACTCCAGCCACTCGCTTCTCCTCACCCCGGATGTCACAGTGCAGGTCCCCCAGCAGTGCATCCAGTTCCTTGGTTCGAGCACTTCGATAGTGCAGCTTCTCCTCTGAGAGGAACTGGGTACAAGGGTTCAAAGCTATGGGCTTTGCGTCTCTCCATCCTCATCCTCTCTCACCCCACCCCAGCCCTGGCCTTGATTTCTTTCTCCTTTGTCTCAGAGCTGGTAAAGATACAACAATGAAAGAGGGATCCCATACTGGGCAGAGCTGATGGGGAAATGCCCTCCCTCAGCTGCTGATTGCCTTTCCTTATTGCCCCCTACAGAGGTCAAGGGTCTCACCATGAAGTCCAGACCTTCAATCTCAAAGTCACTGGTCTCCACCATGGAAGGCAGGTGGGGAATAGAAAGAAGGAAGCCGATCTGGGGAGAGTAAAGAAGAGATAAAGCAAGGAGCGATGCTCTGGGCACTTTCTTTATAAGTAGCCAGAGTCCCCTGTGTCCCCCAAATGTTTCCCTCAGGGACCTAAGAGCCAAAAAGTGTTCATGTTCTTCTGATTTTTCCAGGAGTTTTCTTATCTATCAATTGTGTCCTTCCTAAGCCTCATGTCTCCCTAACACCCCCAGGGAGTGCACCACCCCTGCCTCCTGCCCTCACCAGAGGGATGTAGATGACACTGCATGAAGGAATCCGGGAGTCCAGATTCTCCAGCTCCTTCCGAGCCACCTCAGTGAGGAAACTGGGAAGTCCCATCAGTCTTCGTTTTTCTAAGAGCGTGGAAGACACATGGATATCAAAAGTAAGGCTCCCGCCCTGGTTGCAATGATCATCCCTACTTGCAGGGGTCGTTTGCTGAGGACAGTACCCCATCGCGGGGCAGGTTCATGTTTCAGGGCTCAGGGGCCCATCCGTACACCTAACACTCACTCTCATCAATTTCAGGATCTATGTTGGGGAGGACTGTGAAGCGATTTTCAGCAAGGCTGCCCTCGAAGTCCACCTGAGGAGACAAGAAATCCAGGTTCTTTCCATCCAGCATGATCTCGTCCTATTCCTCACCTCTACCTGGGCCCCAACTTGCCCTTCAGTCCTGGCTTTAACCCTGACCCTCTAGGCCTCCACCACACCCCTGATGTCTGCCATCCCATCTACTGGCCATCCAGCTGACCTCAGTGTCTCCCATGCATCCTCGTTTTCCACACCATATTCCCCAGAGCTCCCACCCATTGCTCTCCATTATTTAGATCCATCTCTCCCCCCTAGTTTCCCAGGAGATCTGCCTCTTTCCTTCCACTCACCACTTTCCCAATGAGGCTGGCAATGTGGTGCAGGTCATCTGAGAACTCTTGGGCAATGTCCCGGAAGAGCTGAATGGACTGGGGTAGGGAGCGGCAGGCATCCCTCAGGCCCAGGGCACTGTACACTGTCTGTGGGAGAAATGGACAGAGGAGGGTGGCCTGTACCCAGGCCGGGCTGAGGCGAGGGGACAGGGCTGGATGGACAAGAACAAAGACCAATAGGGAAAAACATAATAACAGAGACAGAGGAGCTCTCAAAGACAAAAAACAAACCAAGAGAAAATAGCATCTGTAAAACTCTTCACCAGGCATCACACTAAACTCTGAGACTCTGAAGACAACAAAGACAGCAGGGTCCCTTGTCACACATGGGCTCTCAGTCTAGTGAGGAAGACAAACATATACCCAGATTTAAAAATAAAGTGGTGGTTCTTTGATAGAGATTTGTACAATGTCCCAAGGGAGAAGTTTGTACAGAGGAAGGAGAAAGAGAAATAGGGATATGAAAGGCAGAGAAGAAATAGGCAGTAGGGGCAATGCCAGCATTTGGGTGAGAGAGCACGAAGACAGGACGAGTGAGAGTCACTGAGAGTTAATTCCCAGCATGAAGGTCAGTGACCTGGGGTGGCTGCTCTAACCAGGGATTAGATTGAATACACAGACCCAATCCAAAGGACATTTACTGAACCTTACTCTGTGCCAAAGGACATATAGAATATATAAATCAAAGGGCTTATAATCTAGCCCTGATGGAAACAAACAAGTAGCAAAAACAATGGCTACTCACAAAAAAGACTGATCAAATTGTGGAACTAACTAAAATTACTAAGGAAGTCCACAGAATAAGACTAACATGGGGCTTCCCCGGTGGCTTAGTGGTAACGAATCCTCCTGCCAATGCAGTAGATACAGGTTTGATCCCTGGTCTAGGAAGATCTCACATGCCTTGGAGCAACTAAGCCCAAGTAACTGAGCCTGTGCCAGTGCACAACTATTGAGTCTGTGCTCTAAAACCTTGGGAGAGGTTTCCCAGGTGGCAGAGTGGTAAAGAATCCACCTGCAGTGCAGGAGATGTGGGTTTGATCCCTGAGTCAGGAAGATCCCCTGGAGAAAGAAATGGCAACCCATTCCAGTATTCTTTTTTTTTTCCATTCCAGTATTCTTGCCTGGAAAATCCCATAGGCAGAGGGGCCTGGTGGGCTACAGTCCATGAGGGTGCAAAGAGTTGCACATGACTGAGCATGCATGCACACACTAGAGCCTGGGAATCGCAACTACTGAAGCCTGCGCATCCTAGAGCCCATGCTCCCCAACAAGAGAAGCCTCTGCAATGAGAAACCTGCATACCATAACTAGAGAGTAGCCGCCACTCACCACAACTAGAGAAAAACCTGTACAGCAAAGAAGACCCAGCACAGCCAAAAATAAATAAATAATTTAAAAAACCATTACATTTAAGAGACGAATAGAAATCTAAATGAGATAATTGACAATAATATTAATTTTTAGGTAAGAAGTGGTATTGTTCTTTAAAAAAAATAATTTTCTTTTAGGAATCATATTGAAATACTTATGGGTGAAGTGATGTGATGGCTGGGAATTTCTTCAAAATAATCCAAGAAAAGGAAAGTGAGAGAAGAGATATGTGAAACAAGATTTGCATAAGTCAGAGTGTTAAAGCTACATGGTGGGTACATGAGGGTTCATTATATTATTCTCTCGAAAATTTTTTTGACAATTTCCACACTACAAAGTTTTTTTTTTTAAGGTGTTGGGATAAAGTTGGACAGGGGGACAAGAGTAAAGAGGGTTGGGACACATGCTGGGGGCTTAACCTGGATTTCTAGGTGCAAGAAGGGAGGTCTTACCTTGTAGAGAACCTGCCAGTCACTGACCTTGGTGTGGGACAACTTCATGCGTTTAAGAATCAGCTACAGTCGGACAAGGAGACAGTTGCTGGTTTCCTTCTCCCACTCTAATGGCCCTCAAGATGCCCACCACTCCTCAGCCTCCTTCCCCACCTCCCTGCCCCCCAACCCGGGCTCACAGGCACGTTCTTGATGTGACCCAGCAATCGGTGCAGCATCTGAGCCATGTCCAGATGCTGAGGTAACAGGAAAAACTGAATGACATCCAGACGGGAATTCAGTTCCCCCAGGTCCTGGGTTGGACGTGTGAACCACAGCCTGGAAGTGAGGGTTGGAGTGGGGAGACCAGAAATTACACCTGTTCTCATCAGTGTCTTGATCTCAATTTGGGAATGTGCCCTTGGAGGGCCCTGGGGATGGTGGCAATGTGTATTGGTACACATTGTAAAAAACAGTGCCCTATCTATGCAGGTGTGTTTACTCACACCTACTGAAAATCTCTGGAAATGAGCACAACTGTGACTGTGTATCTCAGTTGTGATGGATATGACCATGTGTCATTCCCTGTGGATACATGATGGAGCTTTTCAATATTTTTAGAGGGAGAGCAGCGTGTTGAGCCATTTGAATTCCAACACTCTAGCTCTCTCTGCAGCTGAGTAGGAGTGATTCAGAAAGAGTTTGCATATCTGTATTTAGCTGTGAAATAGCACAGACATTTGTCTTTTCATGTCCTTCCTATGAAAGTATGTAACTGTTCCATGTAGAATGATAAGTCCTCAATTCATATTCATAAGTCCTCAAGGTCATGCCTGCAGGGAAGAAAGTATTAGGTAGAGGTACTTAAAGAGCTTCACAACACTGTCTTGTTTTTAAACTGACTAGTGGAAACACAGAGGCTTATATTATTATTACTACCTTTTATGTGGCTGAGGTATTTCCTGACAAATTAAATTATTATACAGAAATAAATGTCTCATCTGTGTTTCTCTAATTCAGGGAGAGTATCCCTATCTGTCTATGGCCATGAAGAGCAGTGAGAGTCTATAATGACCTGGGAGGCCACGGATTCTTTCCTGCATTAGAGCAAGCCATTAGGCATACCATTTTGTATATGAGTCAACCTGTGGAGACACTGGGGCCTAAGGATATGTATCTCACACTGAGTCTATGGCCACTTATTCTTGGTTAGAACACCCTAGATTAGAATGAAATGGAGGACTCATTTGGATTCGAGGCTGGGTTTCAGGCACCTCTGGTTCTTGGGCACAGGGGAGCAGAGGTGCCTGAGGCAGTGTAGGCCAGTCTGTGAGTACCCTCCCCACAAGGAGAGCACATGGGCTCACCAGACAGTCTTCCTTATAAAACACCTGAGTGTCTCTGACTTATGTACTTCGAGTGCCTGGAGGTCTTAGTCGAGTCAGGCTCAAGTCAGTTGAGGTGATGAGGCCCTTAGAAGATAAGCAAATTGTCCAAAGTCATGCCACTAGTAAGGACGACAGCTGGATTTCAAAACCAGACCTCCAGACTGCTTGGACATCACTCTTCAGAGCATACTGTGACAGTCACCTTCCAGGTTCCTTGTCTAGCTTTAGATTAGCTGGGCTCTTAGCTGATCATCAGGTTGTGATTCTATGCCCTGTGGGGGTCCTATCTAGGGAATCTGCACTCTCCCTCACTTTTGATACAGTTCTCTTCTCTGAGAATTCCTTTCCTTTCATCCTTCATTGAGATTAGAGATCTGTACCTGAAAAACTAGAGAATGTAGGGGTAATTAAATTACCTCACCAATTATCTGGAGATGACTTCAGAGATAATCCTAAGTTAACCTCCAAAAGATATAGATTGCAGGGCAGGTGGCATGGGAAAAGGATTGTGTACCTGCAGGCTAGCAAAGGTTTCTTAACTGTTTAGAGATGATGTAACCAGTGTACTTGCGTTCTACTTCATAGAGGGTTATGTGCTGAGGTAACAGGAATGTGCCATGGCATAGCATTCACTCACTTGCATAGAGGGCAAGCAGATTCACTAAGTGCTAATTCCAACCTGATGTGATAGTGCAATTAAAAAACATAAATAAGCACTATGTGACCACACAGCAAGATGCATGCCAACACACTCAGAGGTGCCTGTGAAAGCTTCACCAAAAAGGTGATAGTTGGGTCGCACCTTGAAGAGGATTTAAGATTCTGACCAGTGGAGAACAGGGGAAAGACTTTCTAAAGGGAACAGCATAAATGTAGACTGGAGGGGGAATTCTCTGGTGGTCCAGTGGTTAAGACTCCACATTTTCACTGTGAGGGCCCAGGTTCATCTGTGGTCTGGGAACTAAGATCCTAAGTCTTGTGGCCAAACAGCAAGAACAAAAAAGAACCATACACTTGAAGAGATAAGCCTTGAAATTAAAACTGAGGGACCCTGAGCATCATACTGCTAAAGAGGAAAATCTTCATCCTATAGGTAATGAGGGAACCTCCTAAGATTTGTCTTTTGTTTTTACTTAAGATTTAAAAAATAGGGGTGTGACATGCTTAGATTTCTGTTTTGGAATGATAGTTATTTAAGAATGAAGAATAGATTGGGGAAAAGAAGAGCTGAGAGGCAGAGAAACCAATTTGAAGGTGAATGCAATGCTCCAGGTTAAAGATGAAGAGAGCCAGAATTAGAACAGAGGAAAGAGGGAGAATGGAATGGCTGGGAGAGACATTTCAGGATAGAATCAATAGGTCTTAGTGAATAATTGAATATGGGGGGTGAGGGAGAAGGATCAACCCAAGGTTTAGAGCTTGAAAAGCTATATTGCTAGCAATGCCACTAAGCAGAAAAGGGAATGCGGAAGTAAGAACAGGGCCAGTGGGCATAGGTTTGGATGCTCTGAGTTTGAGCTTCCTGTGGAAATTGCAGGTGATAATGATGGGCAAAAGAGCATTCCACATTTGGAGCTCAGTAACTAGCGATACTAATTTGAAAGTTATCAGAGAACAGCTCACATCTGAAGTGTGTTTTTAATCATTAAAGATATCACCATGTGTACACTGCTGTCCTGTGATTGTGTTTCTGCTGCGAGTATATGTGAAAGTCTGTGTGTCATCAATGGGTTTGTATGTATCTGTGCTGACAATGTAAAATGAGAGTAACATACCACATAGGGTCATTGTAAGGACTAAAGGCATTTAGCCAGCATTTGGGAAAGGGCAGCTGTTTTCATTACTGTTAAGGGTGGTGTGTTTGAGGCTATAGGCGGCACACACATGTGTGACTCTCGCTCACCTGAGCAGCTTCTCTCCCCACTTACAGCGGCATCTATTGAGGATTCCTGTTGGGGTAGGAAGTGAGCCTGTTACAAGCAGGGGCAGAGAAAGGAATGTATGGATGTGTCTAAGCTGAGGCATCAGGGTCAGAGGTTTGGGTGTTGGGCTGGCTGGCTTGGGGGTTAGTCCCCAGATACAGGACACAAAGGCAGCCAAAGCCAGCGTCTGGCCACAAGTCTGAGCCGGGATTACCTTACATGGGCCTGGGGGAGGAAATGAGCACTCATAGGGACACTCAGCCAGAAAAATATTCAGAGTAGGCACAGTTAGACTCACAAAAAGCCCAACACACATACGTAAACATTAGATCCAATCCACTGAGATGCACAGTGAAACCACGTGGATACTTGGGTGATGTCCCCAACACAGCCTAAAGCCTGAGACAACTATAGGAGATAAGACTCTATGCAAAACAAACACAAGAGTTATGAAACTACGTAACTCTCCTCTATACACAGGGTCTCCCAAAGTCCCCAGACAGGTACATCATTAATACAAATATTCATACAAACCCAAGGAATAAAGACGGAGTTGGTAAAGTAGGGAATGATATGCAAATGATATGGGACAACTACACTGGACGAGGCTTCGGGGAGACGCCCAAGCTCAGGAAGGGAACAAAGAAGATAATAAATCTGGACTAGAGCGGAAGTGACAGCTGGCAGTGGGGTAAAGTGGGAAGAGAGGGGCTGGGATCCGTCTCTGGAGGCAGCTGCTTTTCTGGCAGGCCTGTGCAGTGTGGGACGAGGGACAGGCACACCTACCAAAGAGGCTGAGCCCCTCCTTGAGTCCGCTGGCCACTTTGTACACCGAGGGGTGAGACTCACTCTTAAATATCTGCAGAACGCTATCAGGGAGAAATTAGGGTCATTTGGGTTTTTAAAGGTGATTGAGAAAATGGAATGGGGATTGGGAACCCCTCCTGAGATCAAGTCTTGATGTAAGGTTGTCCCTCATGGCTCTCTGCCTCGGTTTCTCCCTTTAGAAAAGGAGGGTAACACCTTTGTGTTTTTCTTCTTCTCTCCTCTCAGCCCCCACTTCTCTTTCCTTCAGGGAGAGAAACCTTAATAGCCCCAGGATTAAAGAAACTGAAGCCCCATTAGGATTATTACAGCATTAAGCTTAATCCTTCTCCCTCCCCAAAGATGACAGCCTGCCTCCATCTCCTTACCTGTAAGTGTCTTGATCTATGCTTACCAGATGGGTTCTGAGGGCAAAAAACAAGCAGAAAGGAAGGTGGCTGGGGCATGAGAGATCTGAGTTTATTCCTAAGTCCCACCCGTTTAGCCCTCCTTCTAGAAGACGGTCTCAGTTTTCTCCCCAGAGCTCCACACCCTCTCAGGAACCCTGTGTGTCCTGAAGCACTTTACCAGATGGATCACTGCCACCACTCCCCAATCTGCCTTACTTTCCAGGCCTCCCAATCCCACCTTACTTTGGTTGAGGTTAGGGTAAGTCACCTACAACACAAATTTCTTAAATCCTAGGATGGGGACGCTGACGTTATAGTCTTCTAGTTCAACCCCGATTCTTCTTCGACCCAGGAACTTGAGCAGTCCTCCAAGTGCTCGAACCTAGGAGGAGAACCTAGTAGTGGAGCTGGGCTAAATCCCAGTTTCTTGGCGGTTAGACAACACGGGAAGAACTATTATTTTCCAGGACTGGGCTAGTACCTCCAGGACTCAACCCTGGTGTCCAGGTGCTTGTGCCTTTTTCTAATCTGCTACATCACAGCCCTTATCTCCCAAGACCCATCTCACCATGAGGAGGCAGTCAAAGGGGATGATGGAGGAGAGGAAGAGGATTTTCTCAGTGGTAGTCATGGAGTCTGGGATGAAGGAGTAGTTTCCAGAAAGGAGGCGCTGTTTGCTTATCTCCAGGCCTATTTTGAGGGGGGAACAGGAGGGAAAGATCTTGTAGCCCCAGACTTATTTTAAGAATGAGAAAACAGAGAAATGACGTGATTTGCCAAATTCACACAGGCAATTAGTGGAAAGCTGAGACAAGAACCAAATTTTAGACTCTCTCTTTAGTCTACATATAAAGACGTTTGGCTGGGAACATAAGCTGAGAAAGATAAATGGCTCAGGCTAGTAAGATATCTATCTGGAATTGGGGATTCTGGGTCAAAAAATCATATTAATAGAGGAATTTAGGATAGAACATTCCCTGTCCTTTTTACAAACCTGGGAAGATAACGGAAGTGCCTTCTAGATCAACAAGGTAACTGAGGCAGTGTTTTGTTTTTTTTTTTACTAAGGAGCAAATGGCTTTGGCTTAAAGGGGAAAATGCTAACAATCAAAACTGACCCAAAAATGCTACCACACCCTCTTTCAGGGAGGGCCCTCATCCCTAAACAAGCCTAAACTGCAGGTTATTAAAGGTAGGTATTAGGAGAGATGGTGGGGAGACTGGTCATGGGGCCTGAAGAACATACAGGTTTAGAATGAGACAGGGCTGATAGGAGACCTCTGATGATGAAACTGGAATTAGGAGAAAGGGTCACATAACTGGGATGGGGGTGTGGGCAAAGCAAAAGGGAGGAGATACCAAAATCCACATTTGGCAAAAATATGATTTCGGGTCTCTTAGGCTCCCTGTGCTCTTGGGAGGCTGTAAAGGAAACAAAGGTCCATCAGTCTGTACATCATAGTCCTTTTGCCTCTTTCCCATCTTCCCTCTCACCCAATTCTGATCTCCTGGCTGTAGCTCCCAAAAAGACCCTTTAATCTCTGGAACATTCTGTAATTTTGTCCTTCCCCATTTTTCATCTTTTCCTTTTTCAGTCCTTACCAAGCTTCCCCAGAAACCGAGTCATATTCTCATCCTGTTTGGCACTTGTAACAACAGACCGGGGATCGATTTCATCCAGAACTTGGAAGGAGAATGGAGAGCAAATGTGTTCAAGGATCTTTATCTCGACTAAAAGGGAACCTGTAACCCTCCCTTTGTTATCTCCCTTCACCCCTCAAAAACATTTCCTCCAAGAGCAGGTAGGGCCCCCCACATTGGGAGCTTGAAGTAGGAGTCACATATGAGATTAGAAAAAGAAAGAGCAGTAAGACTGATGGGGTAGTGGGAAGGAAGAGGGGTGCCCATGAGATTATCACTGGACTGTAAACTCTTAACGGACAGACATGACTGATTTGCCCAGGACTATATCTCCAGCACCTGATATATTTGTGAATAATGAGATGAATTCCTGAAAACAATAAAGGGAGCCTCTAGGAGTCAACTAATAAAATAGATTGAGACAGGTAAGGCCCTATGAATGAAATACACTTCCAAAAAAAAAGAAATACACTTCCAGTGCCAGCATAGGGGAATTCCTAGTTCTGTCCTCACCTCTTTGGAGCAGTTTGAGGCTCTCGTGGTCTGGGGCATCTGGCATAAAGTGGATGGTGGAGTCACTAGTATCATAGTAGGCAATGCCCAGGTATCCTGAATTCCACAGGACACACAAATGAATCTGTCGGGCAAGGAGGAAAGGAAACTAATATTTGACCCACTAACAAGTACAGGGTTGGGCCATGTCTTATTTAATTATTTTATCGACTCTCAGAGATAGGTATCAACATCCCCATTCAGTAAATGTGAAATCGACACTCAGCGGAGGGAAGTGACCAGCCCAGGTCTTCGAAGACCCTTTATATTCTAACAACCAGGCGTTCCAATTAATTTCCAGCTCTGTCGAGCTCCTGCTCCTCCAACAGCGCCTCTCCCCCTACAAGACCTCAGCAGGTTCCTCCTCTTCCTCCTCCTCGGGCTCCCGGGGGCCCGGCACTGAAGCCACGGTGGGGAAGCTGGCAGAGGCCTCCCCGGGTCCTGGTCCGTTCGGCGTCCTGGCTGGGGTCGCTGCTACCGAGGCCATGGCTCTGGAGGCTCTGTGGATGCAAAAAAATGAAGACAGTTCTGGAGCGAGAGCTCACTTGCTAAGAGGTGGGGGTAGCGGGGCGCGCAGAAGCAAATCCACTGAGAACTACTGGGAGAGGGCTGAGGGTCAAAGCTGCGTGGGCCTTCGAGAGCTGTGGTTACAGGTGTAGGACATCTGGAGGGGCGACTTTTCCAGTATTTCACTGTAGTACAGACTGTGGAAAACATCACTCGCCCCACCCTCATCCCTGTCACGCGGAGGTTGTGTTTCGGGGACGGTCTTGAGCGTCCTTTGGGCGGCGAGTTATACACGACTCCTCACTCCCCTCCTGCCAACCAAGCCCCCAAGATCACAGTCTCACGATCTTGGCTTCCCCGACCCGGATGCAGGAAACTCGCGGTGATTTCCCGCCTTTTCAGTCACCTGGGTCGCGACGTGCGCGACACCTCGTCACTAACAGCCGCGGACGAGCGGGACGGGTGCGCCAACACGAAGGCGGGGTGCGCGCGCACATGCCCCGCCTCCTTAGCCGCTATTGGTCGAAGAAACCCGGATCCTACCTAGAGACCCAACAGAGTGAAAGGGAGAAAAGGACCACCGAGAAGGCTGGATGATGATTGGCCTATTCGCATACGGGGCGTTGCCAGAGGTTCAAACTTCCCGCCCTCTGCCGTTGCCTAGCACCCGCGCCTCCGGCCCTCAGGCCTTCTGGGCTTTGATTGAGAGCCTGTGAGAAAAGTTCTTAGAGCAGAACCGGAGCCCGAGCCCCACCCCCACCCCATCCCGCACAGCGGGTCTAGGGACTTTGGGGAATCTGCAGACAGGACCGACCTTAAAGGAACAGAAGTGCACTTTTTTTTTTTTTCTGGAGAATGGAGATAAGCAACATTAATTCAACCTATGCCAACAATCTAAGTTAATATTTATAAAGAGCTTAGACCAGTGCTGGCAAACACAGTAAGAGCTTCCTGAGTGTTTTAAATAAATAAGCTGAAATAAGAAGCGAGGCTCCTATCTCAGCCCACCTCTGCTTGTTTCCTGGGTGCAGAGTATGATCGCTGCCATAGAGGCACCACAAGACCTAATTAATAATTTCGGCGCCCCACGAGAAGTTGGAAATATTCGAATTTCACCAAATTCTGGCAGAGAGAAAAAGAAAAGAAAGTGAAGTCGCTCAGTCGTGTCCAACTCTTCGAGACCCCATGGACAGTGCCTACCAGGGCTCCTCCGTTCATGGGATATTCCAGGCAAGAATACTGGCAGGAAAAAAAAAAAAAAAGAATACTGGCAGAGAGAAGTAGACCTAATAAAAACACCTACATCCCTACAAGCACATGCCCCTACCCTTACACACACGCACATACACACACACACAGACCCCTAAGAATAGAAGAGTGTTATTTATTCATTCTGGGCCAGGTAGCGGAATCAAAGCAGGTGACATAAGTTCCTATTCCATGAGCCTAATTTTTGAGTGTGTATATGAGGGGAGGAGAAACAAGAAGATCAAGAGACCAAAATTAAGTTTATATAATTATATAATTTTAAGGGACTTCCTGGTGGTCCAGCAGCTAAGATTCAATGCTTCCAGTACAGGGGGTCCAGGTTGGATCCCTAGTCAGGGAACTGGATCCCACATGCCACAGCTAAGAGTTCACAGGCTGCAACTAAGGATCCTGTGTGCCACAACTAAGACAAGGAGCAGTCAAATACATATATATTTTTTAAAAGTCTCTTGAAATACATCTTTACCCCCAGGTTGTTCTGGGTACTTTGAGATGCAGAGATTCCCATTGAAGCACTTAGGAAAGATGGTGGGGGTAAAGTGGCTCTGCTAACTAATAAATGGAAAATCTCCTCTAGTGAGAAAGGTGGAGGAGTGAGTTAAAGACTAGGTTAATGGTTACCCCTGGCAAATTGTTGAGCAAGGGAGCTATGGAAACCTGGAGGAGGCCAGGTGACAGCTCTAAGGAGTGTCGGGGGAGGGACACACCTTCCAATCTGGGGTGGGAAGAGATTAGGGACTGGTTTACCAAGCTGAGGAAGGGGAGGAAGTGGAAAGAGAAGCCTGGAGAAGTAAAGGGGAGAGACTGAAATAGGAGAAAAGCAGGGGCAAGGAGATGGAGATGGGAGGGAAACTTCTCTGAGGCAGGATTTGGGGGGTGTAGCCCCTGACTTCAAACCCATGAGACACTGATGGATGGTACCAGGACAGGGCAACATTACCTGTCACCTGAGAAGTTAAGGAAAAATACTTTTTGTGGGCAGCCATGCCAGCTAGCCAAAGTCAATATTGATGATCAAGGCAGTTCTAGTTATAAAAACTGTAGTAGAGAAAAAGAGAGGCAGGGGAGAAGCTGCCAAACCCGTTTGAGCTCAGGACTGGCCCAGTTTGCCTGAGGCTTCTCCCAGAGGGGAGATTTTTGTGAGGCAGATTCTGGTGGACATGGACCAGCTGGAGCAGAAAAGGACCCTGGGATGTAATGCTGCTTTGACCTGGAAGGGGTCATGTGTGCAGGTTTCAAGGGTCACCTTGGAGGAGATTCCCCTCAACGAACAAATACTTGTTGAATCGTTCTACATTCTTCTGTTGAAAGGTGAAAGTCACTCAGTAGTGTCCGACTCTTTGCGACCCCATGGACTATATAGTCCATGGAATTCTCTAGGTCAGAATACTGGAGTGGGTAGCCTTTCCCTTCACCAGGGGACCTTCCCAACCCAGGAATTGAACCCAGGTCTCCAACATTGCAGGTAGATTCTTTACCAGCTGAGCTACAAGGGAAGCCCAAAAGAGAACAAATATCAAATATATCCCCTCTGTGAGGAGGACAGAGAAAGGCCTTCCTCCAGGGAAGAGAAAACCCACAGAAGAGGAAGCATGAGAGGAAACCACTAACTGCTGGTTCTAGCACCTCTCTTCACTCCATCCGCTCCTCCCCCCAACTCTCTCCTGTTCTTTAAGTTTCAAGCCCTGTTTTGCTCCTATGCTAGGTGTCTTGTTAGACAGAGGGTAGTAAGGAAGAAAGAGATGACTGAATAGGACAGAGATTCAAATGTGGAGGCTGGCATACGTCCTGTTTGGAGAACATATTTTGGGGCTATTTTTCAGCAGATCATAAAGAGTTTGATAGAGCCTCAAAATCAAAGGTTATTGGGGAGGGAGAGCACTATTCTTCCTCTGTCCTCTCTACTTCTTTATTTGTGTCCCTAAGGACTCTGCTGACACTATCTTGTCTGATTTTCACCCTTTCCCCCCACAATAGGACCAGCTACCACCAGCCCAGTAGGATCAGTGCTGCTCTACTCTAGGGCTACAGTAACCCCATGCTTTCCTCCTCATCTCCAAGGCAACCTGTCACCGAGAAAAGGGCAAAAGGCACAGCAAGGGGCTCCAGATGGGGGGCAGAAGTGGAAGCATTAAAGCTGAACAGGCTCCGTGGCTGATTCATGTCAATGTATGGCAAAGACCACTACAATATTGTAAAGTAATTAGCCTCCAACTAATAAAAATGAATGAAAAAAAAAAAAAGCTGAACAGGCTGCCGAATGGGAGAGGACCTCTCCCAGCGATGAGGCCCGTGGGCTCAGCTTCCTGTTTCCCCAGCACAGGGCCTGTTATCTCCCCTCCCCTGCCCTACTTTTCACCACTCTCTTCTCTCAAACCCAGCTTCCACTTTCAAGTCCCTCTTGCGGACCACAGTCCTAGCAACCCAGAATTGGGAACTGGAGTCCGGAAGAAACTTGGAGAAAGGAATAAAGGACCACTTTTCCCTTCTATAATTCCCTTTCTGGGCCCTCGGGGACGTGCTCAAGCAGTGTCAGATTTCTTGGGTGAGGGTGGAGTGGGAGTGTCCTCTGATTAAGCAAGCAGGGAAACTGAGGCAGAAAAAAAGTCCCGTGATCAAGGAGACTGGCAGGGACACAAGGCATTTCCCGAGACTCATCTCAAACCCCCTCCCCCAATCATCAGGGAGACCCGAGGCTCACCCCTCCGGGCCCACTCCCTAGGTCGTCGAGTCCCGCCCCCCGCCCGTCCCCTCCCCAGGTTCGGGGCGGGGCGGTCCGTGAGTCAGCTCCCTGATCGAGTCCGAGAGCGGGTAGAGCTAGAGCCGCTGGGTGTGGAGTACGCTGGACTGGTGGAGAGGCCGCGTCTGGAGTGAGCGGGTCTGATCAGGCTCGTGTGGCGCTGAAGGGCCAGCCCTAGGTCTGGGGGAGAGAATCTCTTCTGTGACACCGCCTTCCCTGCCCGGCCCCTCCCAGTTCCCCCAGCGACGGCCGCTTCCTGGTCCCCGTCGCAACCATGGCTGAAGAACAACCGCAGGTCGAATTGTTCGTGAAGGTAAGAACACCTTCTCCCACTTCGGCCCCCCTCCAAGTTCCTGGAAGCCAACTCTCACTTTTCCCCAGCTCCAGCCTCCACTCCCCACTCCCTTTCCTCTTCGATTCCCACTCCCAGCCCCACGTGCAATCTTTAGTGGGGTGGGGGGGGGGGCGGGAGGGTTGGGAGGCGAAGATAATGTGCGCGCCTAGAGAAATCTAGGCTCAACCCTGAAAAGTTTGTAAAAGTGCAAGTTTCCAGCAGCCTAAAGGACAAGAAGATAGAGAAAAGGGAGGGTTCCCAGGAGTTGAGAAGATTGACGGAGTGGGGGTGAGGGAACAGCTGATAGGAGACAGAGAGAGAAGGGGCCAGCCGGAAACCTAACAAGGTTTGGGTTGGGACCGAGGGAAACAAGCCGGAAACCTAACAAGGTTTGGGTGGGACCGAGGGAAACTTCAGGATAAGGGTCCTACAAAAAGATCAGAGGGTGAGGCACATGGTGGGGGAGACTTGGAGGGTGTGTGTGTGTATGTGTGTGTGTGTGTGTGTGTGTGTGTGTGGCGGGGGAGGTTTCAAGGAAGAGGGTGTGGTAGGGAGGTCTGGGAGTGGGACCAAGTGAACTGGGAAGAATTGGTGGGGTGGAAGGAGACAGGAGAGTGGGAGTGGAATTCCAGAAGCTGGCGTGGGGGTCAGAGGTGGGGGTCCAGAGGTGATGGGGTCAAGAGCCAATGTCCTGGGGTCTTGGAGAAGCAAGAGAAAGGGTGGTGGCGGGGAGATGAGAGTTGAGCAGCGGCTACCACGAGGGTAGATGGGAAGAGAGAGCAGAAGGAGCGCTTAGGACATGTAGGGTTTGGGGGTTATAGAAACGAAAGAAAAAGAGCCGTCCCAATTCTGTCTTCTCCGTGGGTGTTGATGAGGAGAGGTGGTCCCAAGGTATTTGCATATCGAAACCTCAGGCTGCAGCTTCTGCCGTGCTGCCTGCCACACTAGACTTGTATTCTCTCGCCTCTCCAGACCCCTTCTCTGTGCTCCTCCCTCCCTTTAGCGACCTCCCCCTCCGTCTGTATCTCCTGGCTCGCTGTCTCCCCACCCTTCACTTTCCTGTCTCCTTTCCCTCCACTTCCCCTCTTTTGTTCCTCCAGCCTTTGTGTGTCCCAGCCCGTTTCTCCCTCTGCTTTATGCCAGGGCTTCTCAGGCGGCCATTCCCTCTCCCTCAGTCATGCCGGGGTCCGCCCCCTTAGGTGTGGTCCCCACCTCACTCTCACTCTTGCCTCCGGGGCTATTTTTACTCTTGGGTGGGGCTGCGCTGCAGAGATTCCAGTCCTGGGTCCTACGTAAGGAAGGTTATCTGGAGCCAGGGGACTTGCTCTGGGAGACCCCCCCTCCCCTGGCAGTGCCCAGAGAAGAGGGAGGTGGCATTGTCTGCCCAGGCCTCAGCCTCACAACTCCCTGCCCCCACTGTTTGCCAGGAAGGAAGCTGCTGAGACCCAAGACACAGTGAGATGAATCACCCTCAGCCTAGGGGGAGGTGTCTGTTGGGGGATGAGGTCAGGGATTAGAGAGCAGCCCCCCCTACAAGGCCCTCCACACCTCGAGGGTGAGGCTCTGAGCCCCTTGACTCCCCACCCAGCTGCTTGGGTCAGAACTCCTGCTTCCAAACCCCTGCCCCACCTCTCCTGTCTTCAGGCTCTACTTCCTTCAGGAATCCAGGCCTCTAGCCGACACTGCTGGCTTCAACAAAGGCCCTTTCTAGACTCTATTTCATGGGTCAATGTGAGAATTAAATGAGTTATGGCATGTAGAATACTTAGAATAGCACCGAGAAAGGTAAATACTTCTGCCCCCATTAGTCTTCCCTCTCTAGGGTCTAGCTCCTCCAAATTCTCCAAAATCCATTCCCTGGGCCTTCCTCCCATTGTCCTCGGTTCTCTGGGAAACCAGAAGCTTACCTTTGCAGAAGATATTCTTAATGATCCGTCTTAGGTTTGACCCAGAGAGTGCAGAGCCCAGTTATGTGGGGAGCTTTTAGCGGTGAGACTGAGTATGTGTCATGACTAGGCAGAAAGCAGCCAAGTCTGGGAGTAGGAGATGCAGAGAATGGCCTCAGGATGAGTGGGGTACACCAGGCCTAACCTTGGGCTGGGGCTTCCTTTCCAGGCTGGCAGTGATGGGGCCAAGATTGGAAACTGCCCCTTCTCCCAGAGACTCTTCATGGTGCTTTGGCTCAAGGGAGTCACCTTCAACGTCACCACTGTTGACACCAAGAGGTAGGCCCACTTCTCTTCCTCTAAACCCCTCTTTTTTTTTCTCTCTCTCTAAACCCCTCTTACGTGCACACAGGTGCACACTCATTCACCTGAGTCCTTCTATCCTGAACCATTCTCCCAACCCCTCCATCTGAAGCCCCCTCCCACCTCCCTCCACCTCCCCTTTCTGGGTCTCCCTAACCCCCTTTTCCTGACCTTACGCCTGGTCTCTCCTCCAGGCGGACTGAGACGGTACAGAAGCTGTGCCCAGGAGGGCAGCTCCCTTTCCTCCTGTATGGCACCGAAGTGCACACAGACACCAACAAGATTGAGGAATTTCTGGAGGCTGTGCTGTGCCCTCCCAGGTAGAGGGGAACTTGGAATGGGAAGTGGGGGAGCTGGGAGACTCTGGGAAAAAGGGGTTGAAGAAATGGAAAACAGGGATGGTGGTGGGGCTAGGGCAGGCGAGCTGAGGCTCCTCCTCGGAAGATATCTTATCCAGTTTCTCCCATTGGCTTTTAGGTACCCCAAGCTGGCAGCTCTGAACCCTGAATCCAACACAGCTGGGCTGGACATATTTGCCAAATTCTCTGCCTACATTAAGAATTCAAACCCAGCACTCAATGACAGTGAGTCTTGTGGGTTAGAGGCCTGGGTCCTAGGAGGAATGGAAAAGATCTAGGGATTCAGGACACCTGGATATTCAGATATCAGGGAGATGGAGCAGATATTGGCAAACCTTACTTCAATTAAAAAATAATATCAACTCTAGATCCAGATGACTTGAGTACAAATTCTGGTAGCTGTGAGCCTTCGGGGAATTCATTTCACTTCTCTGGAAATCTATTTTCATATCTATAAAATGAGGATAATAATACATACTTCCCCGGTTGATGTGAGAATTAAATGAGTTTTTGTATGTAAATTGCATAGAAGAGCACAGAGAGGGACTTCCCTGGTGGTCTAGTGGTTAAGACTCTGTGCTTCCAATGAAAGGTGCATGAGTTCGATCCCTGGTCGGGGCACTACGATCCCACGTGCTGTGCAGTATGGCCAAAAAAATAAAAGAAAAATAAAGAATTATAAAGATATATATATATATAAAAAGAAGAACACAGAGAAAATGAAACACATTAGTGTTAGTTATTATTGTTTTGGACTTTCCTCCCCCCACCATGGGCCTTCTTGGACTTTATCGATCTTCTGATGTTCTTACCAACTCCCTTCTCTTGCACAGACCTGGAGAAGGGGCTCCTGAAAGCCCTGAAAGTATTAGACAATTACCTGACATCCCCTCTCCCAGATGAAGTAGATGAGACCAGTGCTGAGGATGAGGGCATCTCTCAGAGGAAATTTCTGGATGGCAATGAGCTCACTCTGGCTGACTGCAACCTGTTGCCCAAGCTCCACATAGTACAGGTGAGTAGTGATTGTGGAAGGAGTAGGTGGGAAGTGGGATGACTCTTTAAGGGGCTCCCATGCAGGCTTCCCATGACAACCACTCCAAAAGTGGTTTCTTTCTGAGAATGGTTTCCAATGGCAGACACCACCCTATTCCTTCTCTGCTATCTTTGCTGGCAAGACCACTGCTTGGGAGAATTAATTACGTTCCACGATGCAAGGTGTGGGTGCAAACAGACTGAGAGTAACACATTCCAGTATTGCTTTCAAGAATGCTCTTCCTGTCTCTATCGTTGCCAAATCCCCAGATCAGACAGACCAGGCTTTTCCTAAAATCAAAGTTTTAAGTCATTGTTTCAGTCTCCACTTCCTCTTGTGGAAGATGAAAACTGCTGGTTCCCTTGTTTTTGTCACAGCTCAAAGCTATGGTTTAGTTTGTGAAACGTGGGCCCAGTGTCAGTCTGCTGCAGAACTGTGTATTGAAAATCTCTGTATTTATTTATTTGGCTGCACAGAGTCTTAGTTGTAGCATCAGGGACCTTTGATCTTGGCATGCTGCAGGTAAGTCCCTGCCTGCAAAGGATCTGAAATCTAGCTGAGAAAATAACTTTCACATGAAAGTTAATAATATATGATTAAAAGCCAAATGACAAGTAGACAGAAATTGCTGTAGAAATTTAAGAGAACTTTATAGTTTGTGAATTATATCTCAAAATCAAGAGGAGAAAACAAGCACCATGGACTAGAGTGGTCTGAAAAGGGGCTGTTTATAAATGGCCAAGATTTCAGTAAGTGGAGAGAAAGGGTGAAGGCCTTATTAGACGAGAGTTAAGATGACTACAGGTGATCATGTGGGAGATGAGTCATAAGGACTGATGTTGAAGCTGAAACTCCAATACTTTGGCCACCTGATGCAAAGAGCTGACTCATTTGAAAAGACCCTGATGCTGGGAAAGATTGAAGGCAGGAAGAGAAGGGGACAACAGAGGATAAGGCGGTTGGATGGCATCACCAACTCAATAGCCATGAGTTTGGGTAAACTCCGGGAGTTGGTGACAGGGAGGCCTGGCGTGCTGCAGTCCATGGGGTCACAAAGAGTCGGGACTGAGTGGCTGAACTGAACTACACTGAAGAGTCATGAGAAAAGAAACCAGGTAGCGGACTTGCTTAAATGCCTGGATTTTATCATGTAGGCTGTGGGATAAGGGAAGGACCAAGGGCATGGCAGCTGGTGTGACTTCCCTGAGGCTAACCTATTGGTCCTCCTTCCCGCACCCCTAGGTGGTATGTAAGAAGTACCGGGGATTCTCCATTCCGGATGTGTTTCGCGGAGTGCATCGATACCTGCGCAATGCCTATGCTAGGGAAGAGTTTGCTTCCACCTGTCCAGATGATGAGGAAATCGAGCTGGCCTATGAGCAAGTGGCCAAGGCCCTCAAATAAGGCCCTTCCTAGGGCTCCCCGGCCCCCCTCCATTTTCTCCACAAAGGCCCTGGGTGGTTTCCACATGCTACCCAACGGACACACTCCAAAATGGCCAGTGGGCATAGAATCCTGGAGCACCTGTGCAGGGCTTGCTGGGGGCGATGAGAAGCAAGGATGGGGGATCTGCGAGAGATTTTTGTTGTGGGGTGGGTTGGACAATGTATTTCAGTAATAAAATATAGAATGACAATCTAGTGTTTTTATACAAAACGGGGGCTTGAAGTGTGAATAACAAGGAAAGAAGAGTAGGTCAATGACCTTGAACTCCTGGCAGAAACCAAGGAATTTAGAAGAGGGGTGCTTGTGATGGGCTGCCATTTTTATGTGTAGGTCCACGATAGTGCTATCTTGGGCTCCATGCCGCATTTGCAGCCCAGCCGCCGGGGCTGGCCTGATCTGGGTGGGTCTGGGCAGCGATCTTGGGGCGGGGCGGAATTCCGAGAAGGGGGGCGCGCAGTTGGGGTGGAGTGGGCGCGGCATAGCAGGGCGGAATGGGCGTGACCTCGAGGAGCCCCGCCCCGTCCCGCTTAGACAATGCCCTGGAGCCGCCAGACCGTCGTGCCCCCGACCCAGTGTAGTACTTGAGCTCGCCTACTCGGGGACCCCTCAAAGCCAAAGCTCCGGTCCCCGACGCTTGAAGGCTACGACTCTCTTCTTCACCAACTCTGTCCTCAGGGGGGTGGGGCTCCTGCCAAGATCACTGAGAGGCAAGAGCAGCGGTGGCCGCTGGAGGTGAGTCTGGGGTGGGAGGTGTCCCTTGGACTGTGTGCAGGCTGGAGTTCCGGAATGCTGGGCCCGTGCTTGCGCCGGGACAGTGCGGAGGGTCGACATTTGGGTGCGGAGCTGAGTCGGGGTGGACTTTGGGGAAGATGGGTCAGGAGACTGGGGGACCAGGTCCTGACGCCCCGAGTGGCGCCTGCTCCCCAGAACCACGCCCCCCAATTTCCCCGCCCCTCGGATTTTGTTTTAGACCTCTCCCAGTCCTCCGGGACTCAATCTGGTTTACACTGGGTCGCGCTAGGGACGGAGTGACTGACTGGGGTGGAGAGAGGATGTTTAACTCCTTAGGCTCTATTCCCTCCTCCTTGACCCTCTCTCCCTTTCTCCTTCGGACATTCAAGACTTTCATCCCCCAGGCTCTAACTCTCTCCCCAGCTGTCTCCTCCTGTCCCATCACCCCTGTGGGTTCCTCGCCGCACTTCGGGTCCCTAAGGCAGCGAGCAGCTGAGGGTTAAGGGGGCGGGGCCGCTGCATTTTTGGGGAGTGAGCGCATCCTAGCGGCTGCCAAGAGGGGCGCCTGGCGGGGACCTCTCAAAAACCCCCAAGCAGGGGGCAACAGGTGTTTTGGAAATTAGGGGTCCCGATCTTGTTCCTCCGACTCCCCCTAAAGCAGCAGATCCGCTAGGGTGCGGGGTGGAGTGAGGTCCGCAGGAGAGGAAGGTCTGGAGGGGGTGGGGCGGAGTGGGAGGGGCGCCCGGAGAAGGCAGACGGAAGACCCAGGCGCTCTTAACCATCCCCCTACGCCCTTCTCTGCATGTCTCTCTCTCTGCCTCCCCCCTTTCTGTTTCTTCTCCCAGACAGGTGAAGTAGAAAGAGAAAACTAAGAAATCAGCGCAGCCGGAGGGGGCGTCTGTGTGGATGGGATGGGGACGCCAGGGGAGGGGCTGGGCCGCTGCTCCCATGCCCTGATCCGGGGTGTCCCGGAGAGCCTGGCGTCAGGGGAGGGTGCGGCAGCTGGCCTCCCGGCTCTGGACCTAGCCAAAGCTCAGAGGGAGCATGGGGTGCTCGGGGGTAAACTGAGGCAGCGATTGGGGCTGCAACTAGTAGAACTGCCTCCTGAAGAGTCGCTGCCGCTGGGACCGCTGCTCGGTGATACCGCCGTGATCCAAGGGGATACGGCCCTAATCACGCGGCCCTGGAGCCCCGCCCGCAGGCCAGAGGTGAGCGCCTGGGCACGGGTTCGAGTAGGGGGAAAGAAGGATCTGGACATCCCGGGCTTTAGGGAAGAATGGGGGTGGAAATATTTGTTTCGTTCCCTCTTCTCCTGCCCTAAGGTCGATGGAGTCCGCAAAGCCCTCCAGGACCTGGGGCTCCGAATTGTGGAGATGGGGGACGAGAACGCGACGCTGGATGGCACTGATGTTCTCTTCACCGGTGAGGTTAGGGTGCCTGCACCCTGGGGCCTGGTACAGGGAGGCTGTCTTTGGTAGAATGGGCCACATCGAGCCTTGTTTCCAACTCACTCGCGCCTCATACCTCGACGACCTCCCTGGGCTCAGGCCGGGAGTTTTTCGTAGGCCTCTCCAAGTGGACCAATCACCGAGGAGCTGAGATCGTGGCAGACACGTTCCGGGTTAGGAGCGGGGGTGGGGGTGGAGGGACCTGGGCGGGGAGGAGAGGGGAGGGACTGGGGGGACTGAGGAGGAAGTGGCTGAGAATAGCCTGTGTTTAGGCTATCCCCGTCACTGAATACTTTCCCTTGTTCCCTCTAGGACTTTGCCGTCTCCACGGTGCCCGTTACAAGCTCCTCCCATCTGCGTGGCCTCTGCGGTATGGGGGGACCCCGCACCGTGGTGGCGGGTTCCAGCGAAGCGGCCCAAAAAGCTGTCAGGGTGAGAAGGGGCGGGGCTAGGGTGGGGCAAGTTGGGGGCCTGCCAACGACAGTGGGCGTGGCTCTAGGCCCAGGAGGCGGGGAGAAGGACAGCTCTGAGAATTAGCGCCAACCCCTACCCTCACTGTGCTGTCCATCTATGTGAGAAAACAAGTTACTATAAGCGGGACAAGCAGCTGGAACACCGAGGAACAGGGACAATTAACATCATCTTCCGGGGTTGCACGAAACTCTATAAAGGGCACCTAATCTGTGTCTTGAAGGATGGATAGGATCCACGGGTGGGGTCTGGAGTAGCACAGAAGTGGATAGCAGGTGGAAAGAACTGCCTGTGAGTCCCAGGTGGAAATTAGCAAAGTTAATTAAAGTACTCAGTGTCTGACACATAGTAACTGACATGTGGTTGCTGTTATTATTATTCCACAATAATGTGACTCTTTCCCCCACCCTTAGCGGTGGTAGCACAGCAAGACTCACTTGTGGAGAGGCTGAGCCTTGCGTGTTTCCTCTCTCTTCTCCCCCAAGGCAATGGCAGTGTTGACTGATCACCCCTATGCCTCCCTGACCCTCCCGGATGACGCAGCGGCTGACTGTCTCTTTTTGCGTCCTGGGCAGCCCGGCCTGCCCCCTTTCCTCCTGCACCGCGGAGGCGGGGACCTGCCCAACAGCCAAGAGGTGAGAGAAGGCAGGAGCTCCACCACCACCCCCAACTAGAGAAATGGGGCTCAGGCCTTCCTTGTGGGAGGAAGAAGGGGTGCCTTTTTTAGAAGCCCGAATGGGGCCACTCAGAGCTGGCTGAAAGGGGGCCCCGCCTGTGGGTCTTGGAGTCTCACTTCCTTCTCCCCACATGCTGTCCTCCCTGCAGGCACTGCAGAAGCTCTCTGATGTCACCCTCGTACCTGTGTCCTGCTCAGAACTGGAGAAGGCCGGCGCTGGGCTCAGTTCCCTCTGCCTGGTGCTCAGCACACGCCCCCACAACTGAGAGCCCGACCTGGGGGTCCTGGCTGACCAGGGGTAGAATGGCATAGGAGTAGAAGGGGAAGGAAGGTTAGATAGAGGATGGTGATTAGGCAGTAGTGGGGAGAAGACCCCAAGATAGAGGAGGGCACAGAGTGAGAAAAAGGATAGAGACCACTGGGTGAGTCCTTTCCTCAAGAACTAATAAAATAGAACTGACCTTTTAGACTGGACTGTGACTGGTGTCTTCCTGGAGCAGAAGGACAAGGGCAGGGCTAAAACCCCAGGTTGGGATTAGTGCTGGGGAGGAGACCTCCTTCATTCATCAAACCCTCACTCTACACACCCTGACTCATTGTCCAGCCCTGTTGTGGGGGCTTGGGTACAAGATGGACAGGAAAGAATTTCTCTTGTGGGCAGCATGTACTGGGCAGAGAAGAGAAAATATGAGTGAGTCACTCACTGAATTTATCTAAATGTCAGATGATTCAGAGACTTGGAGATCAACAGCCCATCCCCCAGCTGATAGGAGGAAATGACATTTCCAGGGACATTCATTTACCGAGGCTTAGCAGTGAGAGAAAAAGGGTCAGTCTCCTGATATCAGGGAACTCACAGTACATGAAAATTTCTTATAAATTGAAATACAGGTTGTAATGGAACAATTCACAGGAGGCTGTTGCTATGAGAGAAATAAGGGGCTCCAGAGGGCATCAAAGTATATGCAGGAGTGGGCTAAGAGGGTCAGAATAACTTCCCAGAAAAGATTACATTTGAACTGAGTCCTGAGGATAAATAAGAATTAGCCAGGCACATGGTGAGAAGGAGACAAAGGGCAACCCAGGAAGAAGGAACTGCAGTGGGCACAGGCATATTTGTGGGCTGGGGAGAATTTCTCAAAGGCTTCATGTTCTAGGCATCGAGTGACAGAGATAAGCCTGGAGAGTAAGTAGAATACTGTAACACCTTGAAACCAAGGCTGAGGGCCAGAACTGAAATACTGCTGAAATGTAGGCGGTCAGGAGGTTAGCATTCAGGGAGATTCTGGTTTCAGTGAGGAGCACAAGGACAGGAGAATGAGATGAGCCTGTGGGAAATCCAGGGAGGAACTGAAGCGAGTACACTCAGGTGGCAGTGCTGGGCATGCAAAGGGTGTGGATTTGATGACGACATTAAAATAGACAGGACTTGGTTTATCATGTGGGAGTGAGAGGAAGGAGGTTACATGACTCCCACTTTCTGGCTTGGGCAACAGGGTTGATCAAGAGAAGATGCATGGAGGAAGGTTTAAATAAGTGGCTTGGGAAATGACAGTGCGTTGGCTTTTGGACCTGCTGTGTGCAAAATACCTAGGGTCAGCCAGGCAGGGATGTCTGAGGGACAGTTTGGAATTCTCATATCAGAGATGGGAACTGGAGGGAATTCTGGGTGTTGTTTGCAGTTAAAGTAAAGGCTGAGGACTGGCTGTGGATGACACCATCCTAGAAGAGGGAGAAAAGCAGATATTAAAAAGACAAACCTGGAATGGTGGGGAATACTGTGGGAATAGGGAGGAAGGAAAGGGAGTCCAGGAGGAAGACACCGACATTAAAGAAAAACAGAGCTTAAATAAGAGAGCAATCAAAGGTCAAGCCAGATGAATGCTAACAAAACATCTAGTGGGTGTGGCTATTAATACCTCACTGGCAATCTCATGGAGACAGGTGAGTAGTAGGAGCAAGGAAAAAATGGAAGAGACAGGTGTAGGCCCTTGGTTCAAAGAGCTTGACTGTCAAGAGAAGTGAAGAGATAGGGCAACGATCTAGGAGTTGCTGGTGTCTTAAGGTGGGGAAACAGGTGTGAGAGACAGGGGTAAGGAAGGACCAAGATCAGCAGCAGAGATAGCCTGGAACCTAGGTCTCTCAACTCCCAGTCTAGTGCTCATTTCTATCCCATGGTGCCTGCCTTTGTCAGGTGAAGGGCCAAGAAGGGGAAGGGTGTAATGGAGATCTGGGAGCCCCCAGCTTGTGAGGTTTGCTGTAAAGGCTTCCCTTCAAACTACAACAGCATAGATGGTGGAGGCATCAGCAGGGACCACTGGGGACAGTCGGTTGGACCTTCTGAGGGCCATATGATCCAGGTCTGCGTAGAGCAGGCTCTGAAAGGTGGGGAGGAAGGCAGGAGGGTCTCAGAAGTCTGACTCCCCTGGGTATCCAGGCCTCTCTCCCTCCACTTGAGTCAAGGATTCTGGCCAACCCCCATCCCGCCCCCAAGCCCTTACCGGCTCCTGATCCAGGTCCCCTGACATCTTGGGCTCTTCCTCCTCTTCTGGCCTCTGGGGCTCGGCTTTCACGAGTGAAACTATGTGGGGGGGACAGAGCTGAAGGATTGAGAGAAGGTGACCAACTTGTCTGCTCCCGGCAAGGGCTCAGACTCAGACACTGGGTGGGGAATGTGCGGATAAGGAAAAGTGCGGGGGAGTTAGTCTCACCAAATCTGGGGGTTGGTCGAGGCGGATGAGGGGGCGAGCGCCTGTAAGGGATGGGTAAGTCTTTGAGAAGCACTAACCGTGTCTTGCTTCGTTGTGGGCGCCCCCACCCCGGACGCGCCAACAACGACCCAGCCAGTTTCAGGCTCTGACCAGGAAAATAACGTAGGTTCCACCCCCACGAATACATCAACTCACGCGTGGAGCCTGCTCCGCCTCCATCTTCGCCTTCTTAGCTATGGCTCCACCCACCAGCCCATGGCCTCGCCCCTCAGTTCTAACCTCCCCCCTCAGTTCTAACCTCCCCCATTCATCTCCAAACCACATCTGATCTAGCTTTGGTCTGCGAAAGTTCTGGGCCTGCCCCTCCCTCCTCGGGTCAAGACCCTTTCAATCAGGCTCCGCCTCTTGTGCTCACCTGCGCCGCCAGCAGGCCCAGCCCACTACTCCGAGGCCCAGCACCAGCCCAGTGCCCAGCAGCGGGATCAGAATCTGGGAATACGACGACCCTGGGGGAACGTTGGAAGCGGGGTGGGAGTAGTTGATGCCGAGGTCAGGGTGTGGGGACAGAGCGCTAGCCGCCCCGCCCCCACCCCCGTCCCAGGAACCCCCAGCCGAGGCCTCTCTCCCTGCTGGGGGCGTGTGTCAGAGTAAGGTCCCTGCGCATGAAGGCATAGACCTACCCAGAGCTTTGCAGTAGGCCCGGTCTCCCAGCACATGAAGCTCCGTACGGCTCTCCTCGTCTTGGCGACCCTTGCAGATAAAGGTGCCCGAGTCCCCCGCGCTCAAGAGCAGCTCCAGTCGCCGGATACCAAGGTCCAGGGCATTTATGCGGCCAGCAAAGGGCTGGGCGGGAGACACGGTGGGGGTCCCACTCGGTGAGGCCCACAGGATCGGGCGGCGTCCTTTGGACAGGCCTTTGCAGGCTGGGAATCTAGGTGCCCAGACCCAACGGGTGGGTTGCGAGACCCCTATGCAGGAGAGATTCACGCGGTCCCCAGGGTGGCCGTTCAGTGAAGCTATGGGAGGCCAGAGGCATTGGTTAAAAGAAGACCATAGGGCAACACGACCCTCCCACTTAGTCTGATGCCTCTCCCGTGCTGTCTTGCCATCCTGGATCTTCCCATATACATCTCACCCTCCTGTTTCCCCTTCCTCCTGCCTCAGTCTTTCCTCCCCCATTGCAGCTTTACTGGGATGGCTTACCCCCTGGGTCCCCTTGGGCCCTCGACAGCAGCAGCAGCGGCAGCAGCTGCAGAAGCTGCAGAACCAGGGTCATGGCTGGGATGTGGTGGGAAGAGGAGGGCAGTGAATCAGCGGAGGAGACCGGAGGGAAATCAAACGGGGGTGGAGAGGGAGACCGCGAGTCTGGGGGCACTGATAAAGGGTGGGGGAGGGGCCACCAGCTGCCCAGATCCGTCTGGGAACCCTCAGAGGCAAGTTCACAGCCCTTAACCAGTGCTCACTTAAAATGTATGCTGGGGTCCTTTACACAAGCACTTGTGCAGTACTCAAATCTTGCAGCATAGCAGTTGCCGTGAGCACCACTATTTCTGGATTCTGACTGTCTGAATTCAAACCTTGATTTCACTATCTACTAGCTGCGAGATGTGCACAAGTCACTTCTGTGAGCCTGTTTGCTCATCTGTAAAATGGGCATAAAGGCACCTACCTCATAGAGTATTTGGAGAACTAAATCAAATAATACATGGAAAACATCTAGAACAATGGCTGAGTCATAGGAGCACTATGTGCTTGCCATTATGACTATTCCTATTCCTATTTTAGCTGCTACCTCACCTTTCTGTGCCCATTCTGTCCCTCCTGGCCCAAGGAGCCACACCCAACTGAGCAGGTTTTGGCTCAGGAGGTGCTTTGGAGCAGATGTACAGCCCCACACCCTCGGCCTTCACTGCACCAGAGGAACCAAGGCCAGGCCAAACCCAAGTGGAGCTAGGGCAATGTCCTGAGAACTTCAGGGGTCCTGAGGCAGCCCCTCCTTAACAGGCAGCTCCAGCCCTTGCCTCTGCTGCTATTATGTCACACAAACCATGGTGACATCACAAACCCTACTCCTTCATCCTGTGGCTGAGCAGGGCTTGGGAAAACAAAGTGGGGGCTGAAGTGAGATGAATGTGATGCTTAATTCCTGCCTACATGTCCCTACCACTGCCCCCCAGGGACCAAAATTTGGTAGTCAGCTGGGGCTGCACCCCATTGTCCATTTCCCAGGAACCAGGAGATGCTGCTACCACCCCAGCCACTATAACATCACAGGGGCCTTTAGTGATACTTCTCCAGAGGATTAGGCAGACAGAGATGTTACTCCTGGAAGCCAGGAGGGTGTGTCTTAGATGGAAACCAAGAAGCAAAATGGAGTTAGTCACTGCTGCACCTGACCTTCCCACACCTGTCTCTCCCATCCCCATCCCACTCCTCCACTGGGTCCTGCTTAGCCCCTCCCTAAATGGGGAAGGAGGGGCCACCAGAGGCCAGGGAGGGAGGGACTGTTGTGATTATAAACTCCAAAAAGGCCACTCAAGTCCCAGAGCCAGAGTCGGATCCCTGAAGTCCTGCTCTGTCGGCTGCTGCCGTTCTCAGGACCCTCACCATGAGAGCCCTTCTCCTGCTCTCCTTGTCTGCTCTGCTCTGCTGGGTCTCAGGTGAGCCCCTGGGGCCCCTCAGGATGTGGTTCGCCTGGTCAGGATTTTTACACCCTGCCCCAGCCACTGCCCTACAGTACCCACGGATCCTAAGCGCCCTCGGACCCAACTGGCTTGGCTCTCCTGTGCCCCTGTGACAAGGTCCTTGCTCTGTTCTCCTCCATCTCCATCCTTCAGCTTCTTTCCCACCTCCCAAACCCACTCTTCTAACTGCCCAGGGTTACAGGTTCCCGGATCCCCAATTCTCATAAACTCTCATATCCAGTTCCCCTTCCAACCCCACTCCAGGATCCAGTTTACCTGCTTTCTCCTCTCTCCACCTGCACTCAGCCAGGGTGTCCTCCCAGAAACCTAAGCATCCGGCTGGGGCTTCTTTTGCCATCCATCCTCCCATCTACTCCATCAGGGACTTTGTGCTCTGTCCCTCAAGCAGTGGTCTTTCCTAGATCCCCTCCCCACCCTGCTCCCCCCTGGGGTGCATGCTTCCAGGGACACAAGTTCTGTGGAGGATTCCAGGGAGCCAGGGAGATTGCCCAGCCTTCTAGGGAATGTCAAGGTTGCTCACCCCAGGATGAGGTGGGTTTCACTGAGAGGCAATCACCGGGTTCCTCCACCCATGGCCTGAACTCTTCCTTCTCTCAAACCTTGAATCAGATGTGGCAGGAACCTTGGGGGCACCTTCTGCGCTCATCCTCTCCATTTTGGTAAAGTGCTCAGATCTATTCTGATGATCTGCCTCTCAGATACTACTCCTTTCTGTTGGAGACCTACCAGGGTGGGAGGATTTATTCTGGGTCTGCTTCCTCTTCCCACATCCTTGGTGGCCCCAGGAGGTAAAGAATGCTTTGCTTAACTGGCACCACCCCCCCCCCCAGGTGGCTTTCTTGCCCACCTTGAGCTCCAAGCCATTCCTGCAAGTGTTATAACCTCCATGATTGATTTTTACTTTGAATATTTCTTCCTATTTCATCTCTTCATCTGTAACCTTCTGAATTCCTTCATCTCCTCCCTAGACACCTACACATTCCTTCCCACTGGTAGTCTCACATTCCATCCGCCCCCAGACCCATTGTTGGTAACTGCCCCTCTTGACTCATCTCCAGATGAGTTGGAGTGAAGAAAGATATTCAGGGTGTGGGCCATTCACAGACCAACTCCACCCTCACCCACTTCTACATTTTTTTGCATCCCTTACCTGTTCTGTCCCTAGCTCCCTAGCAGACCAAACAGGTCAGAATCCCAACTTGACTGACTCCTCTCCAACCCCACCCACCAGCTTGGCTCATCCCTTGGTGAGTCATATATTCTGTCACTTGTGTCTTCCTAGCTGATATTCGATGTCACTCCTGCTACAAGGTCCCAGTGCTGGGCTGTGTGGACCGGAAGTCCTGCCGCCTGGAACCAGGACATCAATGCCTGACAACCCATGCGTACATCGGTACCATCCCCTTCTTCAGTGGGGAGGGGGGGCCAGTGGGGGACTCTATGGCTGGGGCTCAGGTGGAACAGAGAACTACAGCAGTGATAATATTTGGCCAAGGATTACTGTTTCCCAGGCACCATCCTATATCTTTACATGGATTGTTTGAATTTATGTTCATGACATCCTATGATGTGGATGCTATAATTATATTGAGGAAACAGCCTCTGAAAGAGACAGGAACAGATCCAAAGCCTCATGGGCAGCAAATGATAGGCCCAGGATTGGGGTGAGGGGGCAGGATAAGGAAGTGCAGGAGAAAGCTTAGACTGAGAAGAGATACAGAAGGGCAGGGCCAGGGGCAGAGTTGAGAAGGCTGGAAGCCCGAATGGGGTGCATGGGGTGGGGAGACAGGCCCAGGCATGCCAGATGCTTGTCTTTACTAACCTCTTTGCTCCCTCCTAACCCCAGGGAAGATGTGGGTTTTCTCCCGACTCGACTGTGGCACACCAGGAGAGCCCTGTAAGCCAGGGGTCAACCAAACCAACCAGAAGGGGGGCCTGACCTATAACACCACCTGCTGCAGCCAGGACAACTGCAATAGCCCAGCCCCTCGGCCCACACCAGCCCTGACCCTTGTCTTCCTCACCTCCTTGGCTGGCCTTGGCTTCTGGCTATTGCACTGAGACTGGCTCCATGGCTGCCCCTCCTCCCATCTGCCTTCGCCTGAGCCTCTCTTGTGTTTCCATACACCCTGCTTCCCTTTGCTCAGAAAAGCATCTCTCCAGATGCTTCATATTGCTTTAACTAGACAGCGGTCTCTCCATCCATCTTTCCACCCACGCCCTCCACTCTGCTTTCCCAGAGACCCTTCCCATTTCCCTCGACACCACTCCAGATCCTCCATTGCCTTCAGGGAGTGCTCCCCACTTTGCTTCCTGCGCTCTCCCGTGCCCTGTGTAAAGAGCAATTGGAATCTGGACCTGAAATGGAGTTCTGTCCTGTCTCCAGTGAAGGCTGCCAGGAAGCACCTGATAACCTCACCGTATAAGCTGACACTTCAAATCCTGGCTCCCATACATACCTCATCCCCATGCCCACCCCTTTCCATTCCAAGTAATAAATGTGTAAAGCCGATCTATTGTGTGTGTATTGTCAGAAGATCTATTGTCAGCAGCCCCCCTCCCAGGAAATAACACTCTCAGCCCCAACCCTCACCAAAGGGCCCTTCTGGGAGTTTTCGCTGTGAGGCCAGGGTTGAGACAAAGGGAGAAACGGGTTTTTCAGACCTGTCTTTTCTTCCAGTGTCTGGGGGTGGCCTAGTGTTTGCAGAAACAATCTTTATCCTATATTTAGGCCACACCTGTGTTGTACTGCCAGGAAGGAGGTGCAAGCCTGACTTGCAGGCTCCCAGAGCGGGTAGGAGAGTTGCACAGGGATGGGACCTGGGACCCTCCTTCCAGGCCTCAGTCCCTCAGGTTAGAGTCAGAGGCCTCACCTGGCCTAGTAGGTGGGGCACCAAGGCACTGTCCTGTCACAGGGTTTACATTTTCTTTCTCAATTCCAAATAGTCATATTGGGAGTCAAGTTGCCAATGGGGGGAAGGGGAACAAGCCCAGACAACCAGACTCACTGATTCCTGGTGGCCAGCCCAGAGCCCGCTCCCCTCAGTGATCCTTGTTGCTAAGGAAGACTCTCCCTGGCAACAGGTAGGAGTCACTTAGGGCAGATTCGCCATTGTCCTTTGGGGTTTAGTTGGTTAAGAAGTGTACCACTGTAGCTAAGTCCACTGATCCTTGATAACCCCTAAACTAGAGCCTGGATGCCCCTGCATTACCCCTTCAGCCCTCCTATCAACAAAAGATGGAATTTTCCAGTCAGCTCTGGAGTGGTCGATAGATTTTAATGGCTCACAGATCTCCTTTATTTCCTTGCTGCCTTCTCCACCCCTGCTCCCATTACCCTCTCCAGAGTCCTGGCAAGAGCCAGGCCAGCGTGGTGACTGCTGCAGCCACGATGCTCATGGGGGCTGCAGTGCTCGCCACAGCACCGTTGCACAGGTCGCCGATGCAGCAGTCCCTGTGGGTTGTATAAGTCACGTCTCCCACCACTTCTGTCTCCACTCGATTGCAATGATGGGCTGCCACGCAGGCTGGATGGTGATGAATCAAGGTCACTGAGGCTGAGAGAGAAAATGAGACTGGGGTGTTGAACTGGCTTGAGGACTTGCCTTTTGGGGCAGAGCAGATATGATTTCAAGGAGCCCAAAGGGATCCTCCGCCCCCTCAAAAAACACCTCCCTGAAACCAAGTGATCACAGTTAACATGCTGACATCGTGAAGCCCCAACAGCATCCACTGAAAGGGACCAACATGACTTCTTTCCCAAAACTCAGGACCTCAGTCTAATCATGAGAAAATATCAGGTTAATCCAAATTGCAGGAAATCTTTAAAATAACACATCAGTGTCAAGTATCAGAGATCAAGTGAAAGTATCAAGATCAAGAAATACAAAGAAAAGAAAAAAGTGTCAATATCATGGAATCTAAGGAAGACAGCACTGTCACAGAGAGGTGACAACTAAGATAGGAAAGCAAAAGGCGGTAGATCCTGGATCCGAAAAAGGACATGAAAGGGACAACAGGCTCCATCGAGTAAGGTCTGTAGATTAGTCCTACTGAACCAGTGTTATTTTCTGATTTTGCTAATTAAACTGCAGTCATATGGGCTTCCCAATTGGCTCAGTGGTAAAGAATCTGTCTGCCAATGCAGGAGATGCAGAAGACGAAGCTTCGATCCTTGGGTTGGGAAGATCTCCTCGAGATGGAAATGGCAACCCACTCCAGTACTCTTGCCTGGAAAATCCCATGGACAGAGGAGCCTGGTGGGCCGCAGTCCACAGGGTCACAGAGAGTCAGACACAACTGAGCGACTAAGACACTAACCACACACACACTATGATTAAAATATGGCAGTAACATTAGAGGAAGTTGGGTAAGGATATACAGTGCTAACCTGTACTATTTTTTAATAAAATTAACTTTTCTGTCAATCTAAAATTATTTTAAAATTTAAAACATTAGAATATACATACACACATACCTCCCTGGTCCTTAGCTGATGCCTGAGAGTAGGAGTTTGGTTGAATATTTCGGTCCCTACCCTCAAGGTAGAGAGCTTTTTCAACCATTTGTGAGTACATGCACCTATGAGTCTTTCTGGAGGGTAAAGAGGAGGGAGGTGAGGCCACGCAGACAGCAGGCTTCCGGGGGCTCAGTGCCAGGAGCCAGAAGGGGCTCCAGGCCGCTTCATTCTGACAGCGGCACCATCTGCCCAGAGCTTGACTGAGCCTGGAAGGTTCTGGAAGCCAGAAGGACTGAAGTAGTAGGGGCTGGAGGCAGGGAGGGTCTGGGAAGAAGGGGGACACCCTGAGGACTCACGGTTTCCAGACAGTTTGGTTTGTGCCAGGTCTGGTTGGGGTTTGCGCTCCAGGAAGCCGCAGCGTTCACCCTCTCCGCAAGTGGTCACCGTCTCTTTGCAGGAGCCACTGGGGCCTCCACCGCAGTCATAGCACCGCATGCGGTTTCCTGGTGGGAGAGAAAAGGTGCTGGACCGGGCGCTCCGGGGGCGGCTGGCACAGGGCGACAGGCCTGTGTGACAGGTGCCCCGGCTGCCTCCTTACCCAGGGCAGCCCCCAGCAGGGTGCTGAGCAGGATCCCAGCAAATAGGGAGTTCATTGCATCTGCCTGTGTCTGTAGCACTTCTCCCTCCCTCCCACCCCCCTCCCTGGTCTCCCCTCTGCCAGCCTTTTATCCCTGTTGCCTTTGGCTTTATAGGGCAATAAAAAGGAAGGAAAGAGTCTGTCTCCCCTAGAAGGCACCGGGGCCCCAATAGGGACAGGGAGGCCCCCCTGGGGGAGGCCTTCCCAGGAGAGAAAGCGCACTCAGCATCCTCTGATGTCCCTGAACTCCTCCATCTCAGAAACACTTCTAAGACGGTGGCCCCAGAACTCCCAGGGGTCCCTAAGACCCTTCCAGAGAGTCCTGGACAGTCTTCCTTTTCCAACTACATATCTGTCAGATTTTCTTCATATATTCAATCAAAATCCCAACAGGCTGAATGCAAAAGCAAATGTGAAAACCCAGCCATCTTCTATTTCTTCTGTTAAGCCCCATATTAAACAGATTCCCCAAAGGGTAAAGAAATGCCACTCTTCTCACTATACTTTTGGAAAAGACATTATTTTTCACAAAAATGTGTTTTGTTAACATGTAACAGTTTCTGACCACTGTGTGGGTCTTTCCTGGTGGCTCAGTGGTAAAGAATCCCCTGCCAGAACAGGAGATGCACATTCCATCCCTGGGTGGGGAAGATCCCCTGGAGGAGGAAATGGCAACCCACTCCAGTATTCTTGCCTGGAAAATTCCATGGACAGAGGAGCCTGGTGGTTCATGGGGTCGCAAAGGGTCAGACACGACTTAGGGACTAAATGACAACAGCAGGTTTATTGCTTTATATTTTTTAATGAATCTGTTAAAATGTTCTGCTTTGATTTCTCAACTAGCAAATATTGATATAACTTACATAATAAGAACTCTTTGGGGTCTTCAGTAATTTTTTTTTTTTTTTTAGTAAATTTTGAGTGTAAAGAAGTCCCTGAGATTAAAACATGTTTTTGAAATCTGATACTCAATGGATACCTATGTCTCCTCTGTCTCACCCCCTACTCCATCTGCCTCTGACTCCTGGTAGTCTGCCCTGATTCCCCAGGTGCTGACTCTTCTCCCCAGTCTCTTAAGCCCCAGTCTTTCAGACTCTACCCCCAACACAAATCTTATCCCTCCCTTCCTTCCTAGTCTTTCTGAACCCTACCCCTGCACCAGTGGAAATACATCAGTCCCTCTGGCTTCACCCATGATTAATTATTTTCTCTAATGTAGTAAAGCTGGGAGAGATAATTATGGGGTATGGATGTTGAAGCTTGGGGGATCAAAGGGATGGGCAGCTAGGTGGGGTTCGTAGCTGCGTGTGCAGGTGGGTGGGTGCTTGCTGAGTCCACACTCAAACACCACTTGCAAACAGATCTGGGCCAGGGCTGTTTAGGAGAGTGACCTTAAGAGACTTAAATGCACAGCAGGCGAAGACAGACAAACAAAAACAAGATGTGAGAGCAAAGAGCAGCTTGAGACAAGGAGAGGGAGGGAGAGGAGGAGGGAAAGTGACAGACGCTGACAGACACCATTCAAGAGAGACAGATGAAGCCAAGAGTAAGCTGCAAGAACAGAGAAGACCCTCAGGGCAAGAGCAGGCTCTAGTAGGAGGCAGGGAGGGTGTGAGAGCTTCGGGGCCAGGAACTCTCCTGTGTCAGGCTGTTGAGTCTGGTCCCCGTTCCGTCTCACCCTCAGATTCACTCCCTAGGTGTGTTTGTTTACTGGTTCCTCCCTGTCTCACTCAGATGCTCCAGCTCTAGGATCTCAGGGTGCAGATCACATTCTCCCAGACTCCTGAGCTCCGGGTCTAGACATGGGTACCTCCAGCATCTTCCTCTGCATCCTGTTCCTTGGTGGGACACTGGGTAAGGGTGAGCTGGAGAATCCCTGGGGACAGGGCAGTGGTGGTGGCAGGGGTTTGTGGAGAAGCCTGAGAGCTAGGGGTAGGGGGTGAGGGAGAGGGTGCTGACCTATGCTGAGGAGAGAGTTGTAGGGGGTTTGGAAAGAAGAGCTACTGGGAATGGTCTCAGGTCAGCCTGATGAGGTGGAGCAAGAAAGATTTCCTTTCAAAGGCATTTGAGAATAACTGTCTCTTCCTTGTGGCATTTTTGACAAGCCTGTCTCCCCTGACCCTTATCTCACCTCTTGCTTCTTTGCTGGGCACCTTGGTCAATGTTAATTCCTATTTTCTCATCCAACTCGGCACCATCTGCTTAACTTCTCCACTGGCACCCCCTTCTGGCTCCGGCCCAGCTTTTTGTGTCATTCTCTGTGTTCACCTCCAATTCTCTTGGCTTCTGTTCATGTCTGTGTATTTCTTGCACGCTCCCTATATCCCTCGTGCCTCTCTGTCTTTTCCTTTTCGTGCATGATCTCCACTCCCTTCTCTTTTTCTGCTTCGGTCTGCTTCTCCCTCCACTTCACCGCTCCTCTTTCCCCACTTTGTGTATCATCTCTGTCTGTGCAGCCCATTCCCGAATCCAGGCTGGGCCCCTCACCTGTCTTGTTTGCCTCTGCTCCCTACCGGATCGCCACGTACTCCACAGGTCTCACCACCTCCTCGGCCCAAAGACAGCTCCACTGTTACACCTGCAACTTTGCCAAACCCTGCTACCCGGTTCCCACCAAGTGTCAGGATGGTGAAGTTTGTGGCATCAGTATTGGTACCTCAGGTAGGACTCTGGTCTGACGGACGTTCCTTAGGTCTTCCCCACAGCCATCCATTCCGCCTTTCCTGGGACCCCCTCGGCCCTTTCCTCCTTCCTGCCTGACCTCAGCTTCCCCTCCCCCAACCACCTCTGTCCCATAGAACAGAGCGAGGTCATCGAGCGGAAGGGCTGCCTCCCAAGGGCCCAGTGCTCCCTGCAGGGCCTCACCACCTACTGGTCCCGCTCCTACACTCTCCGACACCACTGCTGCGAGCAGGACCTGTGCAACTCGGCTACCATGCTGCGTCAGCTCCCCAGCCTCCTCTTCATCACCCTGCTCGTCCTGGTGGCCAGCTTCACTTGGGGAGGCCACCAGCCTCCAATTCAAGACTCTTCCACTGTCACTGCGGCCCTGGCAACACCTGCACAGAGATCTTTGGAGATCTGCCCAAGAGCCTGACTGTGTACAGAGCTCTCAGATCTGTGGGCCCAACACCTTCACAGGCCCCTCCCCAAACCTGATTCCTCTGGGCACTGCTCCAGCCCCTAGCTGCCCAGAGGTACGTGCCCAGAGCCCAGCCTCATAAAGAAGCTGTGCTCTAAATCCTTGTCCTTTTCTAGATGCTTGTTTCTGATGCATTCTGTAATCCCCAGCTCTCTGGCAAGGAAGGTGTTTGAAGGAGCTGGGGGTCCCAGGCAAGGGGATTGAAGGAGCATCAAGTGTCATGAGGAAGACAGTCCTGCTAGGAAAGATTAATTTGGAAGATCAGGGAGGAGGGCTTGGGGAATTATGAAAAGTAAATGTAATAAAAGTGCTATCTAGAAGTTCAGTAACATTGCTCTATATGTGTGTGTCTGTGTGTGTGTGTGTGTACCTGTGCAGGCACACGTGCTATCTCTAACAGCAAGCTAGAGCTGCTTAGCGGGTTGGGCTGGGGTGCTGGCACCAGAACCATGACTTTCACTTCATTCTCCATCTGTCGTTGGCGTCCTCCTTCTTGCCAATAGCTTACTTAAGCCACTGCAGTGTAAAGGTTTTTAGGTGACACCTTCAAGAATGCTTTTTTCCAGTGAAGCCCAAGCTTGAGCAGATCACAAAGGGGCCCTTGTGGAGTGGTGAGGGTGTGGCTGGGAGGCCAGCTTCATGCTGCCTGAGACCAGGAGCACCAACACCCTCTCCCATTCCACAAGCCCAGACTTGTCGTTCACTGATCACCCAACACGCAGGGCCCAGTTACACACCCCGCCAGGGAATTCACTCACCCACCGCTGTGGACACTCCCTCTGCCCAGGGAGATAGCTTGTGTGTGACTTGTGGGGCCCCCAGAATGATAAGCTGTGTCCTGCTCCGGATGCCACAGGATAAGGAGGGGGAGCGCCTACGATAAGGAGGGACTGTGGGGTAGCGGCTGGGCAAGGGCACCCCCCAACCCGTCCTGACTCAGTTCCCTCCCCTTCCATCTGAGGAAGTCTGGCGTCTGATTAGAGGTGCTGGTTCTCTCTCAATTTCTTCTTTGTGAGGATGAGATGGCGGTGAGGATCTGGCTTAGTTTAGAGGTGAGTCTTCTTTCCATTCTTCTGTCCTTCAATACTCCCTTTTCATACTTCCAATTTTCTTCTCTTTCTCCATCTCTTCCCTTTTCCTGTGACTTGAGCCTCTTTCCTTCCCTCTTCTTCAGTTTCTACCGTTTGTCCTTTGGTACTCCCATAACTGATTCTCTACCACTGCTCAAGTCTCTGGATTCCTGTCTCCTTTCTTCCCATCCTCACCTCTCCCCAGCCCCTGCCAGTTACCCCAGGCTCCCCTGAACTCTATGGTACTGCAGCCTCAGGGCCACCCCTCCACTGGCTACTGTGAGACAGGAAACCACACCCTTTCATAGGTGACATCATGGAATAATGCTTCTTCTTTCCTTCAGCCCCCAGCCCCTTAACACACTCACACACACACACACACACACACACACTCACACACAGAGCTTGGCTGGAGACCAACTGGACAGTGAAATAGCACTCCCAGCCCCTGCCCCCTTGCCAAGGTTTTCGGGAATCCTTCAGGTGCCAGATGGCCAGGGAGTCAGCAGGTCACACTTCCGAGCAGATGTCCTCGAGATCACCTTGTTTTAGAGGTAGGTGGGCTGTGGGTTTTGCAAAGCAGAAAGACAGATTAAGGATACTTCCATCCTCCACCTCCTCAGGAACCAGCATCCCATCCCCACTCCAACTTCAGTCTCCTCCGGGATTTAAGCCTCTGCCCCCTAGTAACTCCTCACCTGAGATGGGCCAAATAGATGTTCTCATAGACCTGGATCTCGGGTTTGAACTGAGGAAACGAAGCATCTGGAGAGAAAAAGCTGTATGAGGTGCAGCAGAGAAGTCACCAGGTGACTCAGTCCTGTCTTCCTTACCGCACCTTCTCCCCTAGAGAAGAAGGGTAGAGAGGCAAGATCTGAGTCCACACCTCTGGGAAGGAGGGACTCACTTCTGTGTTGAGCCCCCTGGGCCCTCTGCCTCCAGAGCATGATGCCGAGGACCACGATTGTGAACCCCTGGCCCACTGTGAGCAACAGCGTCAGGATCCAGGCCACATCCCAGTCTGTGGAAGGGACACAGAAGGCAGTGGAGACATCCGTGGAAGCTGCAGTTAAGGGCAGGACAAAAGGGATTAGGAGGGAGGCTGAGAGGGGAGTCTGTCCCTTATGCCCCAAAGAGAGGCTTTCCCCCCATAATTTGGTGGGCTTTTCCAAAAGAAGACTTCCTTGCCCCCACTATCCACTACCCCACTTGGCCTCTCACCCTGACCTCATGAGCCAACATTGATAGAGAATGGTGGTGCCCCCCAGGCTACACAAGGACGGCTAACTTTGGATTGGACCATCAACCATAACTGTGATTTTTTCCCTCATGCCCTACACAGTAATTCACCCTTTTAAGAAAATAAGAAAGTGCCTTGTTTATTCATTCTTCCATTCACCTACACCACAGGCCAGACCCCAGATTAGGTGCTGAGGAACGTAGAGGGAGATAAAACCTGATCACTGCCCTTTGCTTACCAAAATAATGGCCATTTGCTCCTCCCTCCTGCCTTGTGAATGGGTTATTCTACATCCAATAGCATTCTTTCTCTGTATAATGGACTTCTTATTGTAAAACAATTATATATTTTTTCTCCTTCTGCCTCCACCATCAATGGGCCATTATAACATTGGTGCATATATCCTTTCTTCAACAAACAACTGCCCCAGCAGTAATTCTTACTTTCTTCCTTTCTGCTAAAGGATATTCCACAAAAATCATAGATTATCCTATTTCTAAACAAAGGCATGTTACACCAGAATTCTTCTTCTCCCTGTTGGCTTATGGTCTATCCGATGAGAAAGCTGGCTTAACCAACCCCCTTTGCTGTTATAGATTTAATCAAGAAAGAAAGAAAGAAAAAAAGCCCTCCTCCTACAGGCAGTGGAGGAAAATAACAGCCAATAACAGATTTGCCTAGCTAGCAGTGGGGGATGTGTTGGAGGCAAAAATCTCTTCCCTTATTGTCACTCAGTTTACCTGCCAGGCTAAAGCTGATCCCTTTGTTCTGAGGCGCGAGGCAGCGGATGATTCCTGGTTTACGTGCCCTGGGCTCAGGAAGCCCCTCTTTAGGACACACCAAGAGCAGGGTAGCCCCATCACCCCAGAAGGACTGCACATCCCCCTTCGCAGGACCCTTCCCCTCCTGCCAGGTCACAGACTCCAGGCTCCTGGCAGGGATCACAGAGCACAGGAGGACAGAGCAGGAAGATCCATCTGCAGCCCTCGCAGAGAACTGGGATCCTGGAGGGAGAGAGGGACTCCTCAGCTCTTTGCCTGGACTTCCCTGGCTCCCAGCAGCCCCTGGTCTGCAGGCCCTCCACTCACCTCTGAGCACGGAGACGTCATACACCCTCCAGTTCTGGTAGCTGTAGCGCACACCCAGCACCGCGCACCAGTACCGCCCAGCGTCTCCTGCCTTGGACCCTTCCAGCCACAAAGAGTAGTTTCCCAGCAGTTTGAGCCTGGATTCCCTTCCGGGCTTCCCAGGGTCTGGGGAGGGCCTGGCCACTTGGACATGGGCCACTAAAGCAGTGGAGGAGCCTGCTGCCGGGCTGCGAAACCAGGACAGGAATTCGTCCCCATGCAGGGCGGGTGGTGATGGACATGGCAGTTCCAGTGCCTCCCCCAAGACCACATAGATGGCCTGGATGCTGTCTGTGGGGAGGGGGCTTTGTGAGACCAGAGACCTCTATCAGGTCTGCGATCCCACCCCTCCACCTCCCACTCCTGGCTTCCTCCCTTCTGGGGTACCCCAGCACTGGGCCTGACTGTGAGCTCCTTTCTCAAGTGACAGCTACAAAAAAGTGAGGCGGAGAGAAGAGGGTAAAGCTCTCCCCACCTCTCCTCCAGCGACTGCAGGGATCTGAGGCCAGGAGGGCAAAGGCTGGAATAGCTGACAAATGCCCGTGTCCCTTCCTTTCGCTTTTCCTCTTCTGGATGAGCATTTACTTGTCCGCTCTTATTTTCTAAAGGTGCCTGATCTGGACCCTCATTGACTCTGAATCTT